CCAGTATCCTGCTGAGGGAGCAAATGGCGTATGAATCAATGGTTGGTCACCGGCTACCATGGGACTGCATCTGCTCACGATGCTCCTGCACTGCCTTGTGGATCAGATCTTAAGGTTAAAGTGGTGCTTCGGGTGTGGCCCCCTAAGAAAACCACCTGTTTCGGTTTGGGCACCTGGACAGTATTACGGCTCTCACACAAGTCAAATGAGATTTCTGTTTTGCATATATATCTGGTGCCCCCTTGTACCAATATTTATGTGTTTATGTGTTTAAGGAGGTAATTTTGTTGAATTAGGGAACAATGTATGATATAATAGCGTGTTTAGCATACGAAAGAACGATGAGTGTTTTGTGGTGTGCTACTGATATCATCATCAGTAGTATGTATGATGAATGAAAATTGTGCAATGCTGTTGTCAGAGAGGATTCGAACCCATAACCTACGGTCATGTGGCCGAACGCCAAATCTATAGGCCAATCAGCCACTATTACCCACTGCCATACATCTCAAAATACATATTCTAACTTTCACTCAATCATGCATCAATCAACCATTCAGCATTCTGCTTCGCTTATACATTATTCACACTCACTAATCAAACTCAACTAACATGCATGTCCGCCAACTGCACACCAAAACAACAACATCATCAAATTCAACTCAATTCATTATTCATCACCATTTATCTATCTATCTATCTATCTATCTATCTATCTATCTAATCATAGAACAACAACTACCATTCAATTTGATCCAATTCAAATTATTCATTCACATAATCAAGTGAGTAGTAGTGATAGTAGTTGTAGTGGCAGTATTAGTAGTAGTAGTAGTAGTAGTAGTAGTAGTAGTAGTAGTGGCAGTAGTAGTAGTGTTCGTTGTTGTTGTTGTTGTTGTAGTAAAAACTTACTATTGTTGCAAACACTGTAATAGACTTTCTTTCATTCATGTTCTAAATTTAATGTACATGTATTGATTTGTGTGTTGTTGTTAATTTAGGGAAATATGGTATACAACTTTTTAGTTTGTCTTACATTGTTCCCACTCACTCTCCTTACACTTTTTTCTTTATTGTTTTATACTACTTATTTATATTCAGTAAGCAGTTGTATCCTTAACAATTTTAACATTTACATTGTAACGCAAGTTGTACTGTAACATTCGGAAACGTTCACATATATTTATAATGTTTATTGTACTTATCATTGTATTAGTCATTATAATCACTGTACTTTAATTACTGCAACGGTTATCCACAGTTGTGGATTTGTTTAAACGCAACAGTTCCCATATCGTTTGCTCTTGGTTGGAGTTTCGATTGTTCATAAACAGTTGTCCAATTTCGACACAGCTATCGGCTGTCCTTGTACTGTCGAAGCCTTTACTATTTTCATTCTTGAACGACGCGTTTAAACGCCTGGACACCTCACAATTTGAGGTTTGTAATTAAATTTTGTGTTTTATATAATGATAGAACCGCTTTTGTAGACAAATCGTTGTTCTTGGAACTTCGATTTTGTGCATATCTCAATCAGGTCACTTGGACGCATCGATAGACTGATCAACAATAAAAGTAATTTGGTCATTTTTTCTAATGAACAATTCCAACATATTCATGATCAGAACATAATTCATATTGAGTGATGATTGAATAGCAGCAGATGTTAGGATAGATGTCTTTTTGAATTGTAAAACTGCTGCGATGTAGTTGGAGACGAGAAGATTTTGAAGGCCATAATTCGTGGACGACCAAGTTTTGAGTGACGAGGTCAAAGTGACCATGAGAACAATGTCCACCTACTTACTACGGCTAAATAAGGCTTATAAAGAAGTGTGAAGAATAGAATAAAGAGTATGATTTACAGTTGATGTTGTCAGGTTTACCATTCACATTTATGGTTTTCATCACAAACTCACAGACATCCACATCCACACACACACACACCAGTTAGAATGGTCAAATGATATTTAGACAAACAAGTGGGTGAAATTTGCGCCTTGAAATCCGAGACCTGTTATCCTAAATCGGGTTGTTTCATCCATCAATAAATGATAGTCAACTCTGGTACGGCTGAGAGTGGGGAGAGTTCGCTCTCCTTCTCCAAATGCTCTCACATGGCCACGTGTATATAGCCTCTGTCAGGGAAGTCCTACTCACTGCCATCTCACAGTGGCATTATTGTTGTTTATCAAATTGAGAGGACGAAAAGCCAATGTACGGTGCTTTAACCGGGTTGGGGGAATGTTCACGGTATGTTCACCTAGGGGAGTTGGAAAACCCTCATTCCAAACCAGTGGTGCACATGGACTGGCTCCAGTATCCTGCTGAGGGAGCAAATGGCGTATGAATCAATGGTTGGTCACCGGCTACCATGGGACTGCATCTGCTCACGATGCTCCTGCACTGCCTTGTGGATCAGATCTTAAGGTTAAAGTGGTGCTTCGGGTGTGGCCCCCTAAGAAAACCACCTGTTTCGGTTTGGGCACCTGGACAGTATTACGGCTCTCACACAAGTCAAATGAGATTTCTGTTTTGCATATATATCTGGTGCCCCCTTGTACCAATATTTATGTGTTTATGTGTTTAAGGAGGTAATTTTGTTGAATTAGGGAACAATGTATGATATAATAGCGTGTTTAGCATACGAAAGAACGATGAGTGTTTTGTGGTGTGCTACTGATATCATCATCAGTAGTATGTATGATGAATGAAAATTGTGCAATGCTGTTGTCAGAGAGGATTCGAACCCATAACCTACGGTGTCATGTGGCCGAACGCCAAATCTCTAGGCCAATCAGCCATTATTACCCACTGCCATACATCTCAAAATACATATTCTAACTTTCACTCAATCATGCATCAATCAACCATTCAGCATTCTGCTTCGCTTACACATTATTCACACTCACTAATCAAACTCAACTAACATGCATGTCCGCCAACTGCACACCAAAACAACAACATCATCAAATTCAACTCAATTCATTATTCATCACCATTTATCTATCTATCTATCTATCTATCTATCTATCTATCTAATCATAGAACAACAACTACCATTCAATTTGATCCAATTCAAATTATTCATTCACATAATCAAGTGAGTAGTAGTGATAGTAGTTGTAGTGGCAGTATTAGTAGTAGTAGTAGTAGTAGTAGTAGTAGTAGTAGTAGTAGTAGTAGTAGTAGTGGCAGTAGTAGTAGTGTTCGTTGTTGTTGTTGTTGTTGTAGTAAAAACTTACTATTGTTGCAAACACTGTAATAGACTTTCTTTCATTCATGTTCTAAATTTAATGTACATGTATTGATTTGTGTGTTGTTGTTAATTTAGGGAAATATGGTATACAACTTTTTAGTTTGTCTTACATTGTTCCCACTCACTCTCCTTACACTTTTTTCTTTATTGTTTTATACTACTTATTTATATTCAGTAAGCAGTTGTATCCTTAACAATTTTAACATTTACATTGTAACGCAAGTTGTACTGTAACATTCGGAAACGTTCACATATATTTATAATGTTTATTGTACTTATCATTGTATTAGTCATTATAATCACTGTACTTTAATTACTGCAACGGTTATCCACAGTTGTGGATTTGTTTAAACGCAACAGTTCCCATATCGTTTGCTCTTGGTTGGAGCTTCGATTGTTCATAAACAGTTGTCCAATTTCGACACAGCTATCGGCTGTCCTTGTACTGTCGAAGCCTTTACTATTTTCATTCTTGAACGACGCGTTTAAACGCCTGGACACCTCACAATTTGAGGTTTGTAATTAAATTTTGTGTTTTATATAATGATAGAACCGCTTTTGTAGACAAATCGTTGTTCTTGGAACTTCGATTTTGTGCATATCTCAATCAGGTCACTTGGACGCATCGATAGACTGATCAACAATAAAAGTAATTTGGTCATTTTTTCTAATGAACAATTCCAACATATTCATGATCAGAACATAATTCATATTGAGTGATGATTGAATAGCAGCAGATGTTAGGATAGATGTCTTTTTGAATTGTAAAACTGCTGCGATGTAGTTGGAGACGAGAAGATTTTGAAGGCCATAATTCGTGGACGACCAAGTTTTGAGTGACGAGGTCAAAGTGACCATGAGAACAATGTCCACCTACTTACTACGGCTAAATAAGGCTTATAAAGAAGTGTGAAGAATAGAATAAAGAGTATGATTTACAGTTGATGTTGTCAGGTTTACCATTCACATTTATGGTTTTCATCACAAACTCACAGACATCCACATCCACACACACACACACCAGTTAGAATGGTCAAATGATATTTAGACAAACAAGTGGGTGAAATTTGCGCCTTGAAATCCGAGACCTGTTATCCTAAATCGGGTTGTTTCATCCATCAATAAATGATAGTCAACTCTGGTACGGCTGAGAGTGGGGAGAGTCCGCTCTCCTTCTCCAAATGCTCTCACATGGCCACGTGTATATAGCCTCTGTCACGGAAGTCCTACTCACTGCCATCTCACAGTGGCATTATTGTTGTTTATCAAATTGAGAGGACGAAAAGCCAATGTACGGTGCTTTAACCGGGTTGGGGGAATGTTCACGGTATGTTCACCTAGGGGAGTTGGAAAACCCTCATTCCAAACCAGTGGTGCACATGGACTGGCTCCAGTATCCTGCTGAGGGAGCAAATGGCGTATGAATCAATGGTTGGTCACCGGCTACCATGGGACTGCATCTGCTCACGATGCTCCTGCACTGCCTTGTGGATCAGATCTTAAGGTTAAAGTGTTGCTTCGGGTGTGGCCCCCTAAGAAAACCACCTGTTTCGGTTTGGGCACCTGGACAGTATTACGGCTCTCACACAAGTCAAATGAGATTTCTGTTTTGCATATATATCTGGTGCCCCCTTGTACCAATGTTTATGTGTAAAAAAAATAAATAAATACCCCACCGTAAGTCATCGGGTATATAGACAGTGGACATCAATTTCAGACTTCATATTCGTGATAAACTCACCTGATTAGATTCAATGTTGCGCGTAATAGTAGTCCGGCTATAATAATCCGTTTGAATAACTTTATTGGCTGAAAATAAATTCAAATAATTAATTCAATGGTTAAGTGTAATTGTTTTATATATGATATAAAAGAATCTTTCAAATCAAGTACGATAAACATTTTAATTGAAAACAATAAGACTCTAAGGTAGGTCAACCAAGCACACAAGTAGTTGGATATAGTCAGACAGGGTTTTGTGGAGATTTCAGTCTTTTCATAGTTGAAATCATGGAACAGTTGGAGCTACACCACCATACAAAGCCTGAAAGCATTGTACGGCCTTTTCGTCCTATTGTAGGACTCCTCAGTATTACACGAGATTCGAACCCAGGATCTATCAGTCTCGTGTGAGAACGCATAACCACTAGACCGTATAGTCGGCATCCAACGGTGTTAATGTCTAACTTCAATCAATTCACGAAGTTTAGCATGCGTCCACCAATTTTCTTCAGTGTGTTGATATTTTACGACAGACGTGGCTGAACTCTGCTGGTCACTGCTTCTCACTAGAACTCCAGGAAATACAGCTTGATGTCAGTCGCTAGTGCGCATATGATTATAATCAGAAGAGGTTTTGTGGAGATTTCAGTATTCTCATAGTTGAAATCAGAATCAATTGAAGCTAGACCACCATGAAAAACCTGAAAGTTGGTTATAGTTGAAATCAATCACCGTCTCTTGCAAACATGTATCGATCATTTAAGCATTTTGTCTAATTTATGCTAATGATTAAACCCCTTTCAATCTGACCACTTATCTTTTTGCTTCAATATCTCGCATATTATGTTTCATTATTATGTATTTTAAATCAAACATCAGGAAATCTAAGATATAGAGTTCATAGTAGCTACTATTTGTCAGCTAGTAATATTTTGAATCTCAGAGAGGAACTGATGCTCTCTGAAAGATTTGAACTGGCCCCAGCCTCAGCCAAATTATCCGTCAGTCGGATCACTGAATATCGAATAGATCATTGATCCGTGTTTGGGTCAAGGACGATCGACGCGCATCAATTAATCCTACTCCATGAACTGGTTCATGCGGTGGTGGTCACACTTTCGATTTTACCTACTTTACTAATACATTTATGTAATAACGTCCTTTGTGTTATACGGTCTTCACACCAGCGATAGTACTTTGATACATAGAACGGGTAATCCACGTTAGGTGTTGGCCGCAAAGTGTGACTTCATAGTTAGCTGTTTCGTCACACCTTCCCCGTCTAACTTGAGTAGGCTCCCAACCATTCGACTGAGATCATCAACGTTAATGATCCACAAGGGAAACGAAGGGAGAAAGCGGAACAAAAAGGCTTGGAGAAGGAATGTGAGCCAACTCAATTTAACCAAGCGTGACCTGAAATTTATCGTCGAGCCAAAATGAGTTATAGACATGTAGTGAATCGGTTAAGTAATAAACACACATACGGTCATATAAAAAAACGGTCGGTTGTTAATGAGTGAATAGGTGACAGTATAAATATGGCTTGAGGTGAATTAGCCAATTAGTTTGTCCAGATGCTAGAATAACCAAAATGGGCTTGTCATGATACCAACTCTCATAACATCCGTATTGTACATTATTTTCCGACTCCGGAACTGAGTGTAATAAGTAGGGGGGTAGCTAATCAATGATACAGTGTCGTTATCTGAAGAAAATTTGAATATGACTTGTATGTGTCGTATCACCCACAACCAAGCAACTAAAGTTCTAGAGGTGATCCAACTCAGTGGCTTGATACGATATCAGATATGGCTCGAAATATGAATCAATAGAGATTTCACCATAGCATCATGTAAGTAATTACTTCCGATTCACGTTTTCGCTCCCCACCTTGGTACTGGTATTTCACTAACCTATTATATGATAGTAACGAAATTCGTAATTATCCACTTATTGTAAATTTTTACCAATTACTGTACAATGCAACTACTAGTCAAAGTAATTTGATATGGTGATACAATGGGGCTGATACCAGTTCATCAGTGGTAATCGCTAGGATACCCAATTGATAATCAACTGTTTAAACCTTCCAACATAATATTCATATCAGTATACAAAGAAAGAATATCTCGTCTTTATAATCTTTACCTGTATCTTTTTCACTGAATATAATTTGAATTTACTTGACATATCAATTTCATCATCATTAGAATCATTAAGAATTTCATTGTATGAAGAAGAAGAAGAAGTAAAGGTTGGTGTTGATGTTGCCGATGACGATGATGGTAATGATACCTTTGTATGTAAACCTGAATGTGATAGTACAGTAGATGAAGAAGTAGAATTTGATAAAGAAGATGAAGAGTGAATATCATCATTATTATTGACTGTATCATTTAAATCAGTGAATGTATGAATTCCCATACCTTGATTATCTTCAATTTTTTGTAACATATCAGTAAATGTTATACGTAAACTGTAGGATTTCATATCATTATTATTATTATCTTTTCCATGTAAAGTATTACCATTAGTTGAATAAGAATGTTTTTTAGATGAATAATCTTTTGCATTGAATTCAATATTCCAAAATTCATCATCATCAGCATCAACAACAGTAGCAGCATCAGCATCAGCAGTATCCTCAGCAGCATCATCTTTCTTCACATGATCAGAGATATCATGTTTCTGTTCATTTTCTAACTTTGAATTCATCTTAACTTCTTCTTCTCCTTCTTGATATTCACTTTCTCTTATTTCATATTCTTTTAATAACCGTGAACCAGCACTTTGAATAGACCGTTTAGTATTCTGTAATCTTAATGGTGTTAATGATTGACGTCCACCTTGTATTAAATATCTTTGTAATTCATAATCCCATGGTGAATTCATATGTGTATTACTTGACCTATAGTGTTTATCATTAGTTGACCTTGATGAAGATATTCTATGATGGAAATATTGATCATATTTTAATTTTTGTACATTTCCCGCTTCTTTTAAACTAATACGTTTCCCATACAAATTATAGATATACATGAATGAATCAAAAAACAAAAAGAAACAAGACTATTCAAAGATCAATATAGATAGATCTTTATTGCAGCATAACTGGTAACAAATGAAATCATGCTGGTATACAAAATGGAATGACCTTATACTTACTTAGCTACTCACGCTTGTTACCCCCTAATGAAGTATAGACTGGAATAACCTTATAGGTTTAAATGAATCAATTCAATTGATTGGTCTAATTAAAACAAGACAACTAGATATGAAATGGATCATAATAGTAACTGAATAATAAACGTGAATAATATCATTAGAAACAACTTGATGACTGTTTTATCTTGTGGCCGAGTGGATGCCCAGTTAATGTATGACGTGATAAGATCGCCAATCAAAGAGCAGTGAATTATCGATTGGAATAGTGACACACGAAAACCGTACGAATAGTCTAGTGTGCTAATCAGTCCTGCTTCTGAGTAGCCCAGCCAGTTAAGTCCAAAACACCAATAACAACCTCTGTGGTATGAATCATTGTATTTCAAACATACTAACTTTATATACCAAACAGACTGACAACATTGTACCAATAAAATAGGAAAACAACATATGTACAAGACTTGGTCAAATGTGGCTGTGAATGTGGGAGACAGCAATGAATAGACTAGGGATAACTAAAGATCACAGGTCAAAAACAAAGCTTATGATAAGAGGGACACGAATATGTGTAGTTTAATTCGTTAACAATCATACAATAAAAATATATGTATCATATTGGTTCACAAAAGTTACCATTCATAATTCTCTTCGGTATATAACAAAAGGCTTCACTGATAATTAATCTATTAGGAAATAAATATTGTGTTTCCATCGACTTCACAAACTTGGTGATCAGTGGTAGTATAGTGAACAAGAACACAAGGGAGGACAATCGGATGTGTTTTAATACATAATTACAGAATCACTTAGTTAAATCTGAGAATCATACAGAGTAAATCATTCATTTGCAATATTTCAATCAATCGTCTCCGATTTCATTGTTCTTTAGTTTCCACAGCAATCATTCTTTATTCTCGTTCTCTTTTTCACCTTCTGCTATCAGACATTTTATTTCTTATTAGTGTTATATACTACTTATGTCAAATATAAGTAGCACACACTACAATAGCTTAGTAAAATCTGTAAAACTTCATTTGCCTTATAGGATCTTGGTCGATATCATGTAACCATAGCATTAATCCTTATTATTTTCATGTGAACATTCATTATTTCATTTTATTTTTAAAAATGTTAATGTCAGTCTCATTTCACACATTATTAACTTGGATAAAAAGCAAAACAATCATGGGTTCATTTTACAATTCCCGTATTTCATTAACGAACTTGATATACACTTCTGTCACTTAGTTACTATTATTATTATTATTATTATTATTATTATTATTATTATTAAACCTAACCAATTAAATAATTACGGAAATGAGAAGATACAACTTGACGATGTTCGGAATAAATGAGACCCATTGGATGCAAGCTAAACAGAGAAGAGAAGATTAGAGTGAAATGCTGTTGTACGCTGGTCATGAAGAAGAAAATGCTCTGATGCTGTGCAGAGAAGCACGTAAATCACCTATAAGATAAAAATCTCATGGGTTAAGGCATCCTTTAAAACAAAGAAGGAGGGAATCACTATGAATGTTATCCAGTGTTATGCCATCAACAACGATAGCAATGAAAACGATAATGATCAGTATTATGTGAGGCTAAGGCCGGTCGTAGCTAAGTACTCAGGAAAGGTCTTGAACATCCTGATGTGAGACCTAAACGTCAAGGTTGAAAAGAACAACACCGAATATGAAGAAAACTGGAGAAACAACATTACAAAGGTTTATTGCAGAAGTCCTTCGACATACTGACAAACTCAACCAACTCCAGATAACTTTCAACGACAGATTCCAAGCCTTGCAGGATCTACACAAAGAAGAAGAAACTACTATGAAAGACAATTAGAAACGGATCAAACAAGCACTAACTTCAAGGTTTCAAGAGGTTCTAGGCCGGCATCATCATGAAGGAAGGAATTCCAAACTACTGATAACTTTCACAAACTATGTAACGTAACACATGAAGGTTTCAACATCGATAGTTATCAAAGAATATATTCTCCGCCATACATCATGTGCAATTCAAACAATCAAACATCATTGTCAGAATTGGATTTGTGGATATCATAGTAATTTTAATAGTTGAGATGATTTGTCAATTAAAGCTGTTGTGAGATAACAACTCACTGAAGACAATGGTGGATATGTCATTCAATTTTATGGATTAGTTGAAGTTAGACATTAACACTGTTGGATGTTGGCTCAGTGGTCTAGATGATAAGCGTTCGAGCGAGAGACCGATAGATCCTGTGTTTGAACCTCGCGAGGTGGGATCGTCTGTGGCACTGTTGAAGAGTCCAACAGCAGGACGAAACGACCGTACAATGCTTCAAGGTTTTCCATGGTGGTCTAGCTTCAACTGACCGATGATCTCAACCAATAAAATCAAACATTATTCAACTGATGAGACTTTCGGTTTACATTATGCAATAAGATATTATAACTTTATTCTCACTTCCAATGTTTACTCCAATCATATTTGATATCATGTTTCTTATTTACAGTGAACATTGTTCGGTACAATCATGTTGACTACAATTAATCGATTGAAACTATCTTGTTACCATGTCTAATCTATACTGTGATGTATGTACTTTACGACAAAACCCGATTTGTGAAAAGCTTCACCAACAACAAATTCTTACATCACAAATGCTTATCAATGGAATCTATATATTTAAGTAATCCATTATTTACTTTACATAACCGTAAATGATGTATATACTTACTGAGTTACTACCTACAACCCATTTAGGTACTGGTTAGCGTTTTTTTAGCGGGTTGATTTTCTACGGGATGGGGTCGCTAACCCCATGCCCAACCCTCCTCCTTTACCCGGGCTTGGGACCGGCAGTAACCCCAGAGGAGCTACAGGCGGAGTTATTTAGGTACTACAAATGACTTTTAATAAGGAGGAAACAACAAAATGATGTTTTCTTAAAGACGACCATTGAAATGTTTAACTTATTAATCACCTATTTGATAATAATAATAATAATACCAACCCTATTACGTCATCATACATATTACTTCAAATAGTATCTTGAATACCATATCAAATGAAATACAACTGTCAACTCATATTTGGACATAGGTGTGGCTTATTGACAAATGCCGTCAGATAAATGAATACAACTGACGAATCTTTGGTAATGTTACATGTTGTCTACTGTAGTATCGTCTCATTCATTAACGTAATCTAATTGGTCAAGCCTATCAATATATAAATAGGACTGATCAAAGTGATTGATGAATAGATTATTATCATTTCTATTGAGAATTCTTATTTATTACATAATCAATGGCTAAGAGTGATTTGATATTGACACCATATCAAGTGTTTATATTACCATGTTTTATCCTTATTTTCTGGTCTCTATTTTTGATAGTCTTCAAAAGTGATGGTAAGTATAAATGTTATAAATATTATCAAAGAAACGGATAAGTGATAATTTCGAATCTCATGAGGCCGGATTGTGGATGCCCACTGCTGAAGAGCCTCACAATAAGACGAAAAGTCCATCCAATACTTCCATATTTTCCATGGTGGTCTACCTTCAATTGATTCATGATCACAACTATTAAAATAAATATTATGTTTGGTTGAATAACATTGGAAAGTACTTGGAATCTGACAAAATCAAATTTTATTGGATTGAGAATTTGTAGAGATTGTAGTTATTTTAATATTAAAATGCATGAGTTGATCTAAGCTAGATCAATATTGAAAACCTGGAAACAGTGTATAGTCGTTTCGTCCTATTATGGGACTCTTCAGCAGTGAGCATCCATTGGTAGTCTAGCTTAGATTCACTCACGAATTCAATTATTAAAATCAAACTGATCATACATTAAAACAGTTTATACATAGAAGTCATGATTTCGACTAGTTGTAAACCGTCAGAAAATACGTTCCATTAATGGTATCGATTGTCCCCTTCATATATGCTTCACCCTCAGTTCATCCATCCAGTATACATAGATCAATCGCCCCTATTGACTACATCTAATTATTTCCAAGTATTCGATTTCTTTAAGATTAATTTTTCGAAAACTATCAACCTTGATTTGTATCATTTCTGAAATGGTTCAAATATATTTGACATTTTAAAACAGTCAATCATATATAAAACAAGGCAAGTGACTTGAATTTCTATATTCACTATCATGGTGTTTGTGAACATTATCGATATAGAAGCCTGTTTTATAGATTAGCTGCTGATAGATTTTAAACCTTTTTAATGTGTGAATTGTCCCTAAGAAAATTGAAATCTTAAGGTAGTTGGTACATAATTACTTTCGCCTGTTACCCTTCGTAGAGGTGCAAAGGACGCCCAAGAGCAGTCTCCAGCCAACACTGTCCTTAGCAATCCTTTCCAGTTAACGTTCATCCTTTTCATATATGCTTCTTTTTCCCGACGTAATACGTTTTTTAGCCTTCCTCTTTTCCGCTTCCCCGTCGAATTCCAAGTTAGTGATCACCTCGTGATGCAGTCTGGTGATTTCTTTAATGTATGTCCGATCCACCTCCAACATCTTTACCTAATTTCCTCTTCAGCTATAGACTGGTTTGTCCTCTCCCACAAAAAACTGTTGCTGATACTATCCGACCAGTGAATGTTGATCATTTTGCGAAGACAACTGTTTATAAATAGTTTTGGCTTTTTGACGATGGTTGTAGTAATTCTTCACGTTTCATCTCCATACAGTAGGACTTCCAATTTGTATCTCCTCATTTCCATCGCTATCTGACTGGTCTTCCCGGTCTCCCACATTGTCCGGACGTTCCATGTACCTATAAAAACTGTTGTTCTGGTTGTTAGAAGACTAATCGGCCTCGTGACTTTGAAAGAATCTCGGCTTTTATGCTGAGGTGTCATAATTCTTCCTTGAACTCCCAGAGCAGAGTATAAATGGTTTGAATTTTTTTCCGGTTAGCGTTTTCTAGCGAGATAGTTTTCCACGGGATGGGGTGGCTGACCCCTTGCTCAACCATCCTCCTTTGTGTGGGTTTGGGACTGGCCGTAACTCTAGAAGAGCTAGAGGTGGAGTTGTACTTTGGTAACTTGATCATTTATCTGGTTCCACTGTATCTTTAATTTGAAACTACATATTGTTATGTTTCAGAAAGAACATTAAACTTCTGTATTTTCTTCTACTTAATACATTATCTTGTCAATATTGTACATGTTATCATAATCAGTTTTGATGTAAATGCTTCATTGATATCTATAGGAAGTGGGACTTGGAGAGTAAGTCATAGTTCAATGAATGAATAAATGTTCCAATATTTCAAATTGATATTTTTTATATTTTCAAACAATACAACACATTAGTTTGTCATAAAGTTAGTTTTCTAACGGATGGGATCGCTAACCCCATGCCCAACACTCTTTATTTACGCGGGCTTTGGACCGGCAGTAACTCTTTAAGAGCTACATGTTCAACATATATACAAAATAATGTCGAATCGTCACAATTTGAAATATAACTCAATAACCATTCACTAGGGATTACGGATTTCTATGAAAACATACTATGATAAATAAGGTAGCCAAGGCTTATTGAATTTTTGAAATGTACATCCAAGCACTTTGATGATGCAAGTAAACTCAAAAACAAACTGTTAGATAAGGAAATCAGCTACATAGACCTTCACAGATCAAGTCAGTTTACGATTCGAGAGTTAATAAAGTATCAAAAAAAATAAATAAGTACGTGATTAATTCACTTAAACGGTGTAATACTACTTACAATTGATTGATTACTGCGTGGTGATCAATATCATGTATATCAGGTCTCTCTTAATGCAGATCGAATCCTATCGACTAAGTATTACACAACTCTGATGATTGTTATAACTTGTAATGAATCGTTAGTATTACATAATATACATTCACTTGATGTTTTGACAAGCAATTGATCAAATTTCTAATCCCCCCGTATTTCTTAGAGAGATATAGATTGGCTTATACTTACTCAAAGGGAACAAGTATGTTCTTCTATTTAAAAAACTACATTTTTCAATCATTTTCTAAATCCAAATGAGTCAAATTAATCATCTCACAAACTGAATCCTCAACTTTCCATTTCTATTCAATAAATTTTTCAGACACAACGATTTTGGTTTGTGTTTAATGAAACGAAAGAAGTATGTTCATGTGTAAGTGAATGATGAGAATTAATGAATGATCTTATTTTAAGGATTGAGAAATCTAACTGGGAAATAAATAAACTGTGAATGAATCATATGCTCGCTGGTGACTGGTTTCAAGAGGTATTTCCTGGAGCTCTAGTGGGAAGCAATGACCAGTGGAGTTCAATCAGGTCTGTTGTGAGATAGGAACTCACTGAAGACAATGGTGAACGGTTGCTCAATTTCGTGGATTGCTTGAAGTTAGACATTAAGACCGTTGGATATTGGCTTAGTGGTTCTAGAGGTTAAGCGCTCGCGCGTGTGATTGAAAGGTCCTGGATTACAATCTTACAGAGCGGGATCAACGATGCTTTCTACTGAGGAGTCCTGCAATAGGACAAAACAGTCGTCCAGTGCTTCCAGGTTTTCCATGTTGGTCTAGCTTCAATTGACTCATGATTTCAACTATAAAACTGCTAAAATCTCCAGAAAAATCCCTTTCTTAATGAAATTTTTTTGGATTCTATTGAAGAGGTATACCCGTGGGGTCAGTCTTACGAAAACTTAAGAATCACACTGTAAATCCTTTATTTGCAGAACGTCAACCAATTGTTTCGAAATCGACAGTTCCTTTCGAAAATGTCAGTCAATCTTCTCAGTTTTCATCTTTCCTGTATTTTCATGCCAATCGCTCTCCGTTTCAGTTTTTTTTCGATCTACTGAAATACATACTATTCTTGACTACCGTTATATACTACTAATGTAGATATAAGTAGCTCATATCACACTGCTATTGGAAAATGGAAAACGAAATTGTCGCAAAATTTACATTGAACTGAGAAAAAGGGTCGTAGTTGGTCAAATTGCATTTCTACTATATATATATATATATATATATATATATATATATATATATATACGTTTTAAATATCTAAATAAGAAGGTTGTAATGGCACATATGTACTTTATAGGTAACCGGTTTCGAAAGAGTAAGTTATGATGACATGTTCATAACCGAATACAGTCCAATACAGTCATTAACACTAAGATAAGGTTAAACTAACTACATCGTAAACGATATCGTTGAACCTACCCATTTACCGAAATTCGAATTTATCACCTGACATCGGATGAATATAAGTAGTGTAACCGCATTTCACAATCAATGAGCTTACAGATACAATACAAAGTGTATATTGACATTCCCTTGTGAAATTTGAACAGATGATTGTATTCACCAACATGCATAAATGGTTCAAGCTGCCAATACTTATATTCTGTTTTTGTGTTATGTTAGTTTGTAGAAAATTCAACCATAGCAATCAAATCTCTTCTAAGATTAATTCGAAACACGTATCATTAACCTTATCCTCATGAGGATATCACAGTTTTAGACTTCTATCATAAGTAAATAATCTAACAAATTTTGTCTTAGGTTGTTTCCTAGGCAATAAAAATACGTTTGAAATATATGGCTAATGGAATTCTTTGTATGGATATTACAATTTAGTGTAATTTTACAAAACTTGTAAGTTATTACACAGTTAGTTATCCCTCTAAGCTGAATAGCATAGAGAATGGGATATATATTTATATTCTTTAAAAGACATGAGATATTTATCAAATCTAACACTTGATGTTGTTTACTTGTATCTTCCCATTGTTCTTTAAGACTGTAATTGATCAGTCGCTTGTTGGCATATGTGCGTACTGCCTCGATCTTGAATTAAGTCATAAGCTTTATATGAGAACATGAATAGTGGGTAGCAGTGAAATCCAGGACATACGTTTCGTCCAATTTGTGACTCGTCAGCTAGATGTACCTTCATCTCAGAGTTGATGTTCACGCTGAGACTCGAACCCAGTACTGTTTGCAGTGACGGTGGAAGAAGCAACAAGTGAAAGGAATACGAAACAACCATATGATTCAATGAAGAAATTAGCAGGTAGATATAACAAACCGGAGAGACCAGTCAAGGACAAAGAAGGAAAGACAATCGTGGAGATTGGAAAAAAAGGGAAAAGATGTGCAGAATACTTCGAGAAACTGTTGAATAGACCAGCTACATTAATACCACCGGACACCAAAGCAGAACACATTGACCTTTCTATATATGTCACTTCACCAACGATCGAAGAAATCAAAATGGCCACCAGACAAATCAAGAGCGGGGAAGTGGCATGACCTAACAATATACCAGCTGAAGCACTGAAGTCAGACATTGAAATAACTGCAAACATGCTTCTATTCAAGAAGATTTAAGAAGAGGAACAAGTGCCACCCATAGAATGGAAAGAATAATCCCTCATCAAGATACCAAGGAAAGGAGATCTGAGAAAATGTGAGATATACAGGAGCATCACACTGTTATCAGTACCGGGAAAAGTTTTCAACAGTGTTGTTGAACCTAATGAAAGGTTCAGGGGACGCCCAGCTTCCACATCAACAGATCGGATTGCATATAGATCTGTCATGCACAGACCAAATCGCTACACTAAGGATAATCTTTGATCAATCAATTGAGTGGAACTCGTCAGTATACATCAACTTCATTGACTATGAGAAGGCGTTTGACAGAGTGGATCCGAGAACCTTATGGAAACTTTTTCGATACTATGAAGTTTCTGGAAAGATTTTCAAAATTTCCAGAATTCATACGACAGACTACAGGGTAAAGTGGTGCATGGAGGACAGCTAACAGATGCATTTCCAGTAAGGACCGCAGTCAGACAAGACTGTCTGTTCTCCTCCTTCCTGTTCCTTCTGGTGATTGACTGGATTATGAAAACCTCAACATTTGAGGGGAAATACGGAATACAAAGGACATCTTAGAATCAATTAGACGATTTGGACTTCGCGAATGACCTAGCCTTCCTATTTCATACACACGAACAAATACAGATGAAGACGGCAAATGTATCAGCAGCCTCTGCATCAATAGGCCTCAACATACACAAAGGAAAAAGCAAGATTCTTAGATATAACACCGAGAACAACAACCCAATAATACTTGATGGCAAAACTCTGGAGGAGGTGGAAATGTTCACGTATCTGGGTAGCATCATCGATGAAGAAGAATGATTTAATGCAGACGTAAAGGCAAGGATTGGCAAAGCAAGGACCGCATTCCTACAAGTGAAGAACATTTGGAACTCAAAACAACTGTCAACTAATTTCAAAGTAAGAATCTTCAATACGAACGTCAAGACAGTCCTACTGTACGGAGCTGAAAACTGAAGAACTACTACAACCATCGTCAAGAAGGTTCAAGCATTTATAAACCGTTGTCTACGCAAAATACTCAACATTCACTGGCCGGATACCATCAGCAACAGTGTTTTATGGGAGAGGACAGATCAGCTTCCATCTGAAGATGAAAATTAGGAAAAGACGTTTGATGTGGATAGGACATACATTGAGGAAATCACCAAACTCCATCACAAGGCAAGCCTTGACTTGGAATCCTGAAGGCAAGCAGAAAAGAGGACTAAAAAACACAATACACCGGTAAACAGACGCAGATATGAGAAGGATGAATGTTAACTGGAAAGAACTGGAAAGGATTTCCTAGGACAGTGTTGGATGGGGAATGGTTGTATGCGGCCTATGCTCCTCCATGAAAGGTAATAGATGTAAATAAAGTGAAGTAAATAAGTTATTATATTGTCTACTAAATAAGTTAGATAGCCTCAACTTACTGCTCAAGTTACTAATGTTATTCTTATATAGAAAGTGTCAACATAATTGACAATTTCATCTTATTATAAACAATAAGATTTCATTTAGACAATTCATTCAGTGAAAAATAATGTATTAACCATAACGTAATATTCAGAAAAAAGAAAAAGATTACTTGGTAAGTTGATATAAAAAACTATTTATAACGAGTTTATCATAGTTGCTATGCAAAACAAATGTGCCATTTTTATACTTCAATATTCATTTCGCTATTACGAATTTACCTGACTCGGTAAACAGAATGAAGGTCAATGACACGATAAGCTAGTTCTAATCCATTGTCCCCAGCCCTACTAACTAGATTAAGAAGACTTAATGAGGCGTAGAGAATGTATTTCACAAGCATCCAGAAAATACGAGGTCACTAAGCACACAAATCAAGCTTATTTATACAATGATCGAAACACCCTAAGGTGAGCCACAAAATAGCGTACTAAAAAATCCGTCAACCAATGACAGTCAAGGAATTCCGAGTGGGAAATGTGAGCCGTAGGTCAACTAAGCGTGTGTTGGAACTAAAACATAAAATTTAAATCTTCAGAATAAAGTTACAAAATTAGAACGGTTTCTAAATGAGTTCTGAGGATCTAACGTCTCCAACATCAATAAAAACATAATACATTTGTAATATCCCAATGACAGGAGAAATTAAATTTCCCGACTTTTCGTGACTATGTAAGGCGCTTCTTCAGAGAACAAATAAACAAATAAAGTTTAAGTGGTATGAAGAAAAGAAACAAAAAATACTAAGTACAACCGAAAAAACAGGTTTGACTAAGTCACTAGCATATCACTCCGATCAAGATGAGGAGACATACTTATATATTTGTCTGTGCGTCAATCGGTGTGAGGAATATGACATTTATAATGTCAAAAGAGTTGAACTTGTGTGCATGATAACACTGTGATTTGTAAATAGAACCAGAAATGATAGCTTGGAGAGATAGTTCAAGTGGGATGGACAGTAATAACTTCTTTTCTATTGAGTAATACATGGAAAGTTTCAGCTACTAGTCTTTCTTTGTAGTTGAAAAAGTTTATTCATTATGATTACAGACTCAAATTATTTCTATGATGAATCTTTCGATGTATGATTAACTCAAATATCTTTATGTAACCTATAACTCAGTGTACATGTCCCACTCATTTTGTAAGTGATTACATTGTTGTTCTTTATATGAACAATTAGAAATTGTAGATCATAAATGTTGATGATCTCCGTCGAATGATTGTGGGTATACTAGAGTAAGATAGGAATGGAATGATGAACCAGAAAACTTCAAAGTTAAACCTCGTGGACAGCACCTTATTTGGATTGCCACTCCGTTGTATCAAAGTACTATGGATTATTTGAAGACTATACAACACAAAGGAAGTTATTACGGAAATTTATTAGTTAAAGTAGATACAAGCGAAAGTAAAACCACTGACGCATAGGGCAATTCATGGCGTATGATTAAATGATGCGCGTTTGTTTTCCTTAACTTTGATAGGGATCGATGAACTGTTCGATATTCAGTGACCAAACTGTAGTGCTTAATGACATTTCAGAAGGAGCATTTATGGAAATTCTAGTAATTTTATAGTTGAATTCATGAGTCAATTGAAGCTAGATCACCATGGACAATCTAGAAACACTGGACGGCCGTTTCATCCTGTTGTGGGATTCCTCAGCAGTGCGCATACACGATTCTGCCTTGTAACATTCAAACCCAGAACCTTTCACTCTCGTCCGCATGCGCTTAACCTTATTTGTTTTTCCATTTTAATAACTTCCATTGATTGATAGTGTAAGATATATTTCATTGGCATTATTATCCATATAAGATATATTGTTTTAATCTTAGTATTCATAATGAAAATAATAAAGGAGATGATCAGTTATTGATTAACAAAAGAGAGCTATTGCTTCATAATTGATAAATTTACTTGCCTTTTGTGCCACAAATTTTTGTAATATTAAATTTTTAGAATCATGGTGTAATAACTTATGTAAGTACTTTTCAGAATCTCTGTGACGGTATATCCTTGAATATTGATCTCAGAAATACAGGAATTAATTCATCCAAATGAAACCCATTACAATTGTCAACTTCTAATTACTTAATTACTTATGCCTGTTACCCCCAATAGAGCATAGGCCTACAACCAGCATTCTCTAACCCAATCCGTCCTGAGCCTTATTTTCTAGATCTATCCAACTTTGTTCACTCTTCTTATGTTTGTCTCCATTTATCGGCGTAATATATTCTTTATTTTTCCTCTTCTCCTTTGGCCTTGAGTATTCCATGTGAGGGCTTGTCTTGTGACGCAGTTGGCTGCTCTCCTCAATGTGTGTTTTCTTATGTACTTGTGGAAGATTAATTCCTCTATGTTATCTGACTCCAATGAATAAATAATATCCCATTAACTGAATATTTAATGCAGGCTACATCTCCTAGTAAAATTATGAATTTACTGGAGACTATTCAAAAGCTTGAACACCAGTTACACAGATTGTTTATTGTTGAAGTTTGGTAAAATCCGCAAGTGTACAGATAGCAAGCACACAGGGAAAGCAAGTGAGTGAGTATGTGTATGTGTATGTCAATGAGTGTTAAAAATCCGAGTGGATAACGCGATGGCGTTTGAAGCGAAAGTTACTGGGTTCGAGTCCCACGGTGAACATCAACTCTGAGATGCAGGTACATCCAACTGACGAGTCCCAAATAGGACGGAACGCGCTTCAAATTGGATTCCACTGCTAGCCACTATTCATCTTTGCTTGAAATAATACAATAGTCTTATAAAAACAATTTCAGGATTTGGGCTAGATAAATATAGTTATTGCTACGTACCTATCTGGAGAGTGTACTCTTCTTCCTGATCTTGTTGTAGTTTCTGTTGTCATTGAACTTCGGTGCAAAGTATTGCTTGTTGCAGGTAGTTTTTGTGGTGCTTGCTCTGATGCGGATTTAGATTATTTTATTGCTGTCTGTTTCTCGATGTGCTCTAAAAACGCTGGTTTTACTCTGCCGATGCTAACAGTATCATGTTTACCAGTTCTTTCTATCGTAACTGTTTTGCTGTCTTTTCGGACGATTTTAAAATGACCGTCGTAAGGAGTCTGTAAAGGCTGTCGTACTCTATCAATTCTGACGAATACATGTGAACATTTGTCTAATTCGTTGGGTTCGTGGTTCGACGGAACTAATAGATCCCATCTGTCGTTTCAATTGTTGTACGTAGTTGGTTATATCTGCTGGAACATTTATTGCACGGTCAAAAAACTCACCAGGCAAACGTAACGTCGTCCCATAAACCAACTCAGCAGCACAACAACCGATGTCTTGTTTGATAGTTGAGCAAATACCTAATAATATCAAAGGAAGCTGGGTATCCCATTTATAATCTACTTCTGCTGCCGTCAAAGAGACATTTAGCTGTCGGTGGAACCTTTCTATCATTCCGTTAGCATTCGGACGATAAGCAGTGGTTCTGATTCTCTTTATACCGAAGGTATCTGTAAGTTGTTGTAAGAGTTTGCTTTCAAACTGGGCTCCACTTTGTATCTTTTAACGGGACGGCTATGGGCCATCTCGTGAATATATCAATACATGTTAGTATATGCAGGTAACCATTGGAAATTGGTAACGGTCCAACAATGTCGATATGAATGTGGTCGAACTTACAGCTAGCGACGGGAAATATTCCTGTAGGAGATACGATGTGCCTGTGTAATTTCGACTACTGGCATGGGATGAATACCCGTGACCGTTTTCGTACATCTTTGTTAATGTTTGGCCATACAAACCTATCTGTGCTAAGCTTTACAGTGGCTTTTATACCTGGATGGGATATGTTGTGCGATTTCTCAAAAATGTTTCGTCTCATATCATTAGGTACAAAAGGGCGAGCTCTACCTATTGAAATATCACAGGTTAAGGTGCCCTTGTTGTTTATGGGAATGTTTCGTTTCGTTAGATTGTAAACGTTTTTTTAGCTCCATGTTGAGCCTTTGCTGTTTCACCATATCTTGACAGTTTATATCATGGATTGAGAAGGTATTAATATTTAATCTAGATAGTTCATCTGCTGCATCGTTTTCTATGCCTTTATATAGAGCATGTTCGCTGAAAATTGTGAAATGAATTCTAGTTGACGAATTTCGCGTGGACTGTATTTATCATGGTTTCGCATCAAGGATTTAGTTAGCGGCTTGTGATCAGTAAATATTGTAAAAGAATTGCCTTCTAACATATACCGTAAGTGTTTGATGGCTAAATAGACGGCGAGTATCTGCTGTATGTTTTGTGGGAGGCGTTTGAGTCACAATTGATATAATAGACGTTTATCAACTATACAATTCCCTAAAACACTTGTCATATGGTGTTTTAATTGTGAAGGTATGTTATCATCTAGCTCTACATTGGCTACCGGTTAAAGAGCGATGTAACACATATGACCTCTCTTTTTAGGCAATCGTATGGTGAGTCAGGATCCAGTTTAAAAATCACGTCAGGCACTTGCTCAATAACATCATCCGGCAGCGACGAATTTGTGTGACTAAATTTCGTGTTCTGGCTTGTCATTGTGTTTGTAACAAAAATGCAAACGAGAGTTCCGCCTTTAAAGGATTTAAAACAGGTGAAGGTACAAAGATGGCACCCACGGAAATAGACTTTAATGAAAGGCTTGATGAATTATCGAGTGACATCATACAAAGAAGTAATAACAGTAGTAATAATAATAAGCTGTGCATTGAGATATACAATATGAAGAAATAACCATTAACAACAACAGGAACTATATATGAGAGACTCACCGAATAATAAAGACAACTGTCACTTTGGGTACAAATATGCGAATGTACACTGATACCATTCCAAAGGAACAATGTTATGAATGAATAGATTATGACTGTCAATGTAACCGTAATTCCAATGTGAAGTTCTTTATTATATGATTAGAGAATATGCAACAGACTTGTAGAGAAATGGTGCGTGTTCCAAATACCGCTCACCAACTTTGTAGAGGAATAATTCCTCTATATTTGACTCCAATAAATAAATAATATCTCGTTAACTGAACATTTAATGCAGGCTATATCTCCTAGAAGAATGATGGGGTCACTCGAGACTATTCAAAAGCCTGAACACCAGTTACACCGATAGTTTATTGTTGAAGCTCGGTAAAAATCCGCAAGCGTACAGATAGCAAGCACACAGGGATAACAAATGAGTCAGTTTGTGTATGTGTGGCCATAGGTGTTAAAAAATTAATATATATATTAATGAGTGTTAATGAGTTGTGGATAAATTATTGATTGTCTTTGTTTACAACCAATGAGAGAATAGATTAAAGATCGATGTGCAACACATGCGTGCTCAATCAGACTCACACATAAATTTACAAAGTCGATTGAATGTCTAAATTACAGAGAAAACACAAATGATAAAATAGTAGAATGGGCTTGAAACACATTTCTAGAGCTTCTTCCTGATTTCTTCCTCCATTGAAATCTAGTTTGTTGTCTCCCACAGTAACTTGTTGCTGATTGTGTCTGACCAACGGATACAAAGTATCTTGCATAGACAACTGTTGATAAACACCTGTGTGTTTTGAATGGTGGGCTTCGTAGTTCTCCATGTCTCCGCCCCATACAGTAGAACTGTCTTGACATTTGTATTGAAAATTCTGATCTTGGTGTTGGTTGACAGACAGGTGTTTTGAGTTCCAGATGTTTTTCAGTTGTAAATATGCTGCACTTGCTTTACCGATCCGCGTCTTCACATCTGCATCAGATCTACCATGTTCATCAATGATGCTGTAAAGATAAGTAAAGGTTTTCATAACCTTCAAAGCTTTTCTTTTAAGTGTAATTCAATTGGTGCACAGTTGAAATTTAAAAAAGCATGGTATTGGTATGGGTATAATTAAACATTAGTTGTGTCCTGTTTATGTTCATCGCTAAATGATTAGTACATATTTAGCCTTAATGTCTAAATTTACTAAAATTAATTCATATATGTTCAAAATCTGTGGACTTCAAGCACGAGTTCGTTCTTTTCTGGTAAAGTGAATTTTGAAAAGGCTTGAAGATCTGTATTTCATAAGTTACAGTCAATACTATTAACGCGATGGTGTTTGAAGCGAACGCTAATGGGTTTGAGTCTCAGAGCGAACATCATCCCTGAGGTGCAGGTATATCCAGCTGACGAGTCCCACATAGGACGAAACGCTTGTCAAACTGGATTCCACTACTAGCCACTATCCATTTTTGCTCAGAAGGCTTGTGAATTAAGTCTTTATCGAGGCAATACGAACAGTATGCACATATGCCAACTAGAGACTGATCAATCACAGTCCTAAACATCAATGGGAAGATTCAAACAAACAATAATTCTAGTTTACCATGGTGTTCAATACCTAACCTGTTATCATTTCATCATAATTGACTAATCAAATGAACTTTTATTTCCAGCATACAATTAACCACAAACATTTCCATTTATGATATACTTTTAGTGTACTAAATCGAATGTAAGTTACTAAACGATTGTTTCTATACGAAGAATTTATAGAAAACATTTCAAAATAATCACAATTGATCACTGGGTGGTGATCAATGTCATGCGTGTCAAGTCCTTCTTAGTGCTAATCGAATTCTATCGATCAAGTTGCAATGTGGTCATTAGTCTAGGTGGCTCGACACTGCGTGCAATATGTATTGAGATAAAATGGTGGTTGGAAGTGGTCAACAGGAAACCCTGGACTCAGGTTTCGTGCTACCACCATCTTATCTCAACATTTCAAAATATTCTATTCACTCCAGATCATTATGCTCAATCGATTGTGCATTATTTCAAAGGAAAGCTAATAAATAATGATTTGAAGTAATTAGTACCTTTGAATAATCTCGAATATGAAGATGAAGATCATCAGAATTATGTGATGATATATTAGTGCAATACATTTCGAACAATCAGATCATAGATTTACTTGCTAAGCTTTATTGTTATAAAATCCCAAGAATTATACATAATTAGTAGTATTTGAATTGTAGTGCAAACTAGGAATCCCAGAAATAACGCAATTCACCCAAGAAGTACTAGATGACCACGAATGAATGAATTGTATTTGGCATTCGAAATCAACCAGGAATCAAGTACAAAGGAATCATTAGTTTACACAAACACCACAGGACGTCAAACGTTTCTTATCCTAGTTAATAATCGGCAGTAATGTTACTTAGAATTGATTTACATTGGTCTCTATGTTGTTGATGATTGTATACTACACGCCACAGCGATGGTCTACAGACACATCAGAGCAGGTTGACGTGATGGGCGTTTGAGTATCAATTTGATTGGTTAGTTATGAACATAACTAACGTCAATTTTACCTTGATCTTGTATATTTGTTACTTTCTATTTTGGGGTATGATGCGGTCTGATTTCCTTCCATATAAACTGCGTTTATCTGAAATAAATGATTCATACAACTAAAGCTGAGATTGTGTTCGTGAATCAACGAGCAGAGCAAGGTAAGAAGAACCAGTAAGGACATAAAGTTGAATCTAGTCTGCTCGTACTAGTTTATTAGTCATTGGTTTGACACAGAGCCAAGATCGAATAATTCGGTGTTTTGATTGTCGATTTTGTCACTTGGTATTTGACGGGTTATTAGAACAATGACAAATTCTTTCACACATTCTATGTTTCTCACTTTAATCTATGTCCCTGGTAATTGATGAAGTCAAATTTGATTATTCTTATTTCTTTTCAGTATGAGAGAGACAGCCTTGAAGTATGTTTAATTATCAGTGTTTTTTATTTAGATATTGGTTAAATGAAACATTATGACAGAAAACTGTACAGTCATTTATCGTTGTTTTTCTATAGTATTCAGAGTGATTGACTTCTTCAGACGCAAACTCTTCTATACAGGAGTAACAGAAAATCTTTAAAGAAAATATGGTACTCACCACTGAGTCTAAATGAATATTGTTATAACCTATGCCGGTAATTGTTATCTTGTACCAGACTATTAGAGAGCAGCGAATTGATTTGAAAACAACACCCGATGATATTACCATATCATTATTACGGCCACCAAATGCCCTGGGACGACCGAGAGTGATAAGAGTTACCTCTCCAGCTCGAAATGCTCTCATATGACCCAGCGTATATAGCCTCTGTCAGGGAAGTCCTACTCACTGCCTTCTCACAGTCGCATTACTGTTGTTTACCGAATTGAGAGGACGAAAAGCCAATGTACGGTGCTTTAACTGGGTTGGTGGACACGGAATGTTCATGTGGGGGAGTTGGATAACCCTCATTCCAAACCATTGGTGCACATGGACTGGCTCCAGTATCCTGAGGGAACAAATGGCGTATGAATCAATGGTTGGTCATCGGCTACCATGGGACTGCATCTCCTCACGATGCTCAAATTTCGGTTCATCTCTTTTATTAACTTACTTAACAGACATCGTCATTTGGATAGTAACAGTTTGCATATTCTTTGTACTGTTATTACCACTAGAGCACATGACACTCTAGCCAAAATGTTGATCGCTTAAGTATCACTTGGTAACTCATCCTCCTGCCCATATGTGTATGCACGCAAATCTTATTATTAGCTTTTGCTTTATCATACGGCGCCCTTATACAATTTAACTATAAATTTGCCTATGTAATTGCTTTCACTTACTGCCCACTACTCGCTGATATTTGATCATGTGCTTGTAACTTTCTGGCCTGCGTCATTTGTCAATAAAACTGTAGCTACCGCTTCTCTTTGCCTTCTGATTTTATGCACCATTAAGATTGGCATTATAACGGTTATCGAGGTGATCGATTGACGAAGCACGGCACTACAAATTAGAATTCATTTATGATAGGGTAATTCGATAAGTTTTTTTCTCAAACTCAATCCTTTTTATATCACCACCTATATTTCGCATACTATTAGTATGAAGATGAAATTATGGATGTAAGTTTAGCTATTCATGTTTTTTTGATCAGATATTGATTTTTAATAATGAATATATTTTTATTATATTTCTAATGTTTCGTAACTTAATATAAGCCACTTCTTCAGAGTAAGACCAATTTGAATTTGTGTTGATTTAATGCCGGTCATTTGTTTATTCTGAAGAAGTGGCTTAAACGAAGTTTCGAAACATCAGAAATACAATGTTTCCCCTCTCATTTGGATATAACAAAAATATATTTATTATCAGAAGGGGTTTTGTGGAGATTTAGTATTTATCATAATTGAAAGCGTGAGTCAATTGAAGCTGAACCACCATGGAAAACCTGGAAACACTTGACGGCCGTTTCGTCCTATTAAGGGGTTTTAATCTCGCGAGAGCGGGTTCGTGGATGTGCACTGCTGAGGAGTCCCATAATAGAACGAAACGGCCGTCCAGTGTTTCCAGGTTTTCCATGGTGGTCTAGCTTCAATTGACTCACGCTTTCAACTATGAAAAATATATTTATCATTATCTTTCTAACCAATGCTCAGTTGATTTGAAACTATCAGGTCCAATCTCGATACTGATGATGTTTATTGTAAGAAGGAAGCATAGGTTAATTTGCTTGTAAAGAATAATGGATGTGACTAGTTTCCAAAAGCACAGAATGGTTAATGAATGATGAACAAGAAATGGACTCTATCTACAGGATTTTAAGTAAAATGTTATATCCTAGTGGAAATTAACTGATGGGTAACTTCTGTGAACTATTAATGGACTAATATTATACATATATATTCTTATTGCATAACTATTCAATAACTAAATTATGTATATTTATATTCCTCTTGTGATGAGCTTTCATTTGACCTATAGAGCATTATGATACGACGTACTGTTCTTAAGTTATATTCAATTTACTAACTACAGTCTCCCACAATCACAGCCACGTTTTGGATTGATCGTGTATAAACATTATTTGCTATTTTATGATATGATGTAGTCCATTTGGGTGGTATATAAACCAAGTATGTTTAAAATAAATGATTCGCATACTGGAAGCTGCTATTAGTCATCATTCGTCTCTCAATATCAGGAAAAGTCATCAATATAGTATTGTTAAACAGAATGAAGGACTCCGCAAACGCTGAACTTCACGATCGACAGGCTGGATTCCGTAAGGATCGATCGTGTACAGACCAAATCGCAACTCCATGGATGATTGTGGAACAATCAATTGAATAGAATTCATCACTCTACATCAACTTCATTGTTTACGAGAAAGCATTTGGTAGTGTGGACAGGACAACACTATGGAGGCTTCTTTGACACTACGTTGTGCCTGAGAAGATAGTCAGTATCATACGGAATACTTATGATGGATTAAACTGCGTAATCGTTTATGGAGGACAACTCACCGAATCATTCGAGGTTAAGACCGGTGTTAAGCGTCACAGACCTCACTGTTCTCGTTCGCTTTTCTTTGATTTTCATAATTTTTTGCCGCCAGACATTTGACGTTCAATTGATGATACATACTACTTATATCCGTTGACATCACGCACCACCGTAATACCTCGTCCTGGATATCTGAATTTATTAGATTTATTTATCTATTCACAGCTTTTTTTAATACGACCAACAAATAACTGTCAACATTATGGAAGATATTCAGTAAGAAATAAGTGATTTAATTGTGATTTTCATTTTAGTGATTTTTCCAAATAGTTATTTTATTTTATACCTTCACCATGATATACACTACTCTAAACTCAAACATAGCATTCAGTAATCTGAGAGTATATTCATCATCAATGTAACTAAAGAGACTGATTTGAAATCATGTGAATTTAGTGAAAACAAACTTACAATGTTCAAAAATCCTTCCCAATATTTCAGCACAGTTTCATCTCAGATATGTTCGTAGAATTTTGATTTTAGTTGAAAATTACTTAGTTACCTTGTGTTCTTACAGATTTAGATGTTTTGGAGTCGATCTTCTTTTGTACAACACATCTATTCTACTTTCAAAATATAAACACAATCATCGTTATGTATTGTCCATGTCTTTCACCTCACAAACATAATATAGAAAAACAGTAAACACATTTATGAGGAAACATGGACAGTGGTTAGCAATGGAATCCTATTTGGCGCGCGTTTCGTCCTATTTGAGACTCGTCGGCTGGATGTACCTGCATCACAGAGTTGATGTTCACTCTGAGACTCGAACCCAGTACCATTCACTTCAAACGTCATCGCGTTATACACTCAGCTGCATAGTCCTGATAGCCATTTGCTTGTGTAATGGGGTGAAGATTAAATTCACTTAGTACTGTTTGTTTGAATCTTTCCATTGATCTTTAGTACTGCAACTGGTCAGTCTGTTATTGGCGATATGTGCATACTGTACTTATTGCTTCGATATAGCCTTAGTTCATAAGCATTATAAGTAAAGATGGATAGTTGACGAATCCAAAGTAGGACGAAACGCGAGTCAAACTGGATTCCACTGCTAGCCACTATCCATCTTTGCTTATAAAGCTTGTGACTTCCTGCAATATCGAGGCAATACGTATATTGTATGCACATATGGCGAATAAGAGACCAATCAGTCTCAGTCCTAAACATCAATGGAAGATGCAAACAAACAATACTAAGTAAAAGTAAACACATATAGTTTTAGTTTCTATCATCTTTTTTGATGACTTAGTGAAACAGTTTGATTAGAGATCGTTTCAATATGAGCTATAAACAGCAGAGTTACTGTATGTATTGTTCTACTATTCTATTTTAGATCAATATATATTGAAATGGTTAAGTTGTCCGCTAACAATACTCCTATGTAACCATTTGTGAGGAGTCCCACAATAGGACGAAACGACCATTCAGTGCTTCCAGATTTTCCATGACGGTCTAGTTACAATTGACTCATGAATTCTTATTTGTACAGAACGATTCAGTTCTCTATCATCATCGAAATGATATGACATTTCATGAGACGTTTTATATATAACTAATTACAAAATATGTTGTTTTAATGTTAATCAGATAATAAAAAAACGTTTGTTGGAATCCCACTTAATTATTACTCCCATTTAAGAGTTTGGAATACCGAAATGCCAGTACATTATGTCCGTTTTGCTTCGATGTAAGTTTTTTTTTAAGTGTTGCGTTGATAACCATTCCTGTTTACTGATTACAAGCATAAAGACGTAAATACACAGCTGATGATGATTGCCTCGTGATAATAATACAAATTCCTTTGAAGAGAAGTAGTCTAATAAGGCAAGCAGATCAAACATGTACTGAATAAAGAAGTTGTTATATCTTTAGCTTTGATTCTCACTATGCCGCGTACTACTAGACTACTTGAACGGTCGAACCCGCAACATCGCAAGAGAGAAAACAGAAGACTAGTAAGTAGGAACTCTTATTCCCCAAAACAGTGTCAAAATATAGTACAGAAATCTCATGTATTTATAGTTATTGGCTGGATGTAAATCATCATTTCGGTCAACCAATAGGCACATAGGGGGGTCATTCTTATCCATCCCATAGGGAAGCTACACGTCGACATTCTAGAATATTCTCCTAGCAGTGATTGGATGGAATGTCTTCGGCTCCTTCCGGGCTTCTTGCAGCTTTCTAGAGTTTACCAACGAGTCATCCTTACAGAAGTCAAATAAATAAATAAAATAAAAAATAGAAAGACTAAAAAAACATACTACAAAAAGGAATTAGGGCCAAGGAAGAATAAGAGGTTGGATGTATCGTTTTTTGCACTCGAAATTCTGGCTTGAGTTCATGGATTGCCAATACCTTAGTAATGCAGAAGATTTTGATGCGATCTCCATTCAATCCAATTCCTTTGACTGTGTAGATTATTATTATTATTATTTTCAAAGAAGACTTATTTGGATCTATGTGTTGATGAAATGCTGCAATCACATCTCAGAACACTACGCAGTATGGCTTTTGAAAGGAGAATACAAAATAAATACTACTTCTTCAGTTCTTTCATAATCCCACCTCATATTCTTTATTTACCCCTTGATTATTACATAATCTCATTTGATAATAATAAGAACCTCGTATCAATTTATGATCCTTCTATAGACATATATTTTCCATATTAACTATAAAATACCAATGTACAGCTTGATTAAATGATTCCATCGAGAAGACCTAACTTTCTTCATTGAATTCTCTTAATTGATACCCTTATAATACCTAAAATCCATGTACAAGTAATATAGATTTTTATTCACTACACTTGTTTTTCAGGAAATAACCCAATGTCCCATATGGGAAACACTTTCGTGAAAGTGAATAACGATGATGTACAGTATTAACATTCTATCATATCAGATAAATCAAATAAAACTCATTTATCATCTTATGCTTTCTAGTAATATAGTGAAGGAGAACACAAGTAAGGACATTCGAATGTATTGGAACACAAAATTACAGTACATCTTGGTAAAATCGGAGAACCATACAGTACACACTTCATTTACAAATTGTTGAGATATTTACAAAATATCCCAAAATTATATTGAGTCTAATTCTATCTCAAATGTAAAATGGTATGTTTTCAAATGTTTTCAGACTTCCCACATAATTCACAAGTCCTTTTCCTATCGGTCAATATTTATAGTTGTCTTCACTATAAATTCCATGTGCCGTTTTCCTATTGGTCGATATTTACAGTTGTCCTAACTATAAATTCCACGTGTCGTTTCCCTATTGGTTAATACTCACGGTCATCCTAACTGTATAAATACGAATTGTCTGTATATTAGTTTCGTTCTGCTTCTAATCCCTTAAACAATTCTCATTTAACGGTTGTGTTCTGATGTACCGGAGTTTGGGGAATAGTATTGAGGTTGTACTGGGATATCTGAAGTTCGTACCTGGTCTTTTTAAGTACGAATAATACACAACGTGGACATGACATTAAGTTTTTAAGAGTAGTTGACTGGAAACTCTACACCTAGATTTTGTGCTATTTGGCAGTCATCAATAATACATATTTTTATTATCTTGAGGCAATCAAATCAAACCTGCATTATAAATCGTCACGCATTTACTCTGAGACGTTATCACTGAGCTAGTCGAACTGAGATAGACATCGAGGAGACTACCTTCATCCATCCAATATCTCACTTTAGTACATGTGATGTTGTGTTAACTTTTCTCTCATTGTACATCAGCTATACTTGATTCCGATCATTAAGCTTATAATTTCATTTGACACACAACATCATTCAATAGTATGTACCCTGAATTCTCCAATTTTTTTTATCCAACTAATTTAGACTATTATTGTTATATTCTATGGCCCGTGAAATATCAAGTGACAAAATCGCTATTCAGAATACCGACTTCTATGATCTTGTCCTGTGCTAAAGCAATGATTCATTAACCTGCACTAGCAGCCCTGAGTCAACTCTGAGCCCTGTAGTGAACCTCAGCGAAAAAGCTTAGATACAATATAACAATACGCAAAATTACCAACAATATACCAAAAGAATTAACACTACAAACAGTTAAATTATAAAAAGGTATATTGAGAAACAAAATGGTAACAGTGTTATGAAATGAATGTTACTTGTAAGCTGCTTTCTGAGATAACAACCACAAATAAGTTCACTTGGTTAACAAAGGTTCCTCTGCACGTGATGGCACCAACAGCGAAATGAAGAAGATTAGATCCAGTAGTATTATTCAGTAATGTTCCGGGTCAAAGCACCAACGTAGTGTGGAATGGCCTAAAAGGATGTTATAATACTATTATAATCTTCAATCAAAGGCCGTTGCCGTTAAAGCAGAAGAATAGACGGCGGATACAACGTTTATATTTTAAGAAACGCGATAGTGAAGTCGTGTTATATATAACCAAACAAAAGTATTCATTTCTTTACCATTGATACAGAAAAACAATAGATATCGAATATGAGTGTGATTACATAAAAAGTGTGACAACTAGGAAAAATATGTTAACTTTAATATGTTTTTACAAAAAATCACTATTTATAAATGTCACTATAGCCGTAATTCGTCCTCTTTATAGTGACATAAATTAAAAAAACTCGGAAAGTATAATGCAGATTCTCTTGGTTCTGCTTCACTGTAAAATAATGTCCAGTTCTATTGAAGTGTTGAAATATTTAGACGATAAATATCAAATAGATTTTGATTCAATGAATTTCGCCACAAAATTAGACGAGCACGTTTCACTACACATGAACAAATCCAGATGAAGACAACTAGTGTAGCATCAGCATCTGCATAATTGGGCCTCAACATACTTGCTTACTTACTATCGTCTGTCACCCCTCGTGCAGTACCTATGTAGATAACGCGATGGCGTTGGAAGCGAACGATACTTGGTTTGAGTTCAAAAGTGAACATCAACTCCGAGATACAGGCACATCCAATTGACGAGTCCCACATAGGATGAAACGCGAGTCCTGGATTCTACTTCTAGTCACTATCCAACTTTGCTTATAAAGCTTTGTTTATAAAGCCTTGTTTATAATTCATCAGTGTTATTTCAGTGGACATGGAGCTTTCAACATCGATAGTTATCAACGAATATATTCTCCTTCATACATCATGTGCAATTCAGACGATCAAACATTAATATCAGAATTGGATTTATGGATATTATAGTATTTTTAACAGTTGAGATCATGCGTTAATTGAACTTATTGTGAGATAGTAACTCACTGAAGACAATAAGGATGTGTCACTCAATTCTGTGGATTAGTTGAACTTAAACTAGACTGCTAACTTTAAATTAATGGTCACTAAATGGTTATCGTCAGGGTTGATAGAGAAATACGAAAATAAAAACGGCGAGACTATAAATTATGGACGAGCCAATCAGAAGCGTTCAAGAGATTTCATGACTTGCGAGATTCGAACCCAGGACCTATCGGTCTCGCGCGCTAACGCTAAGCTTCTAGACCACTGAGTCGGTTAATTGTGGAAATTCTTTATTTGATCATGTTAAACCATTGTGTAGTGGTTTCTCGGCAAGACTATAATTTATGGACGAGCTATTCAGAAAAGGGATATCAAGGTCACGGCGTTAATTTCAGTACCTGATGATCATGTACGATCGGTTCACAGAGAATTTTAGAGAACACTTGACAATTAAGTAGCTAAAACAAATGAACCAAGAAGTTGCTGTATTCTTAATTACGAGTATTAAATGACTTGTAGATCTTGTGTAGACTACCATGATGTTGTCCTTTGATGTAATATATGTTGGAGGAAGACGTTTGCTAGAACAGGAGTGTACACAAACAATAATGAAGTTATGTGGTTGAGACTGAGAGAGTTTTCGTGACCTTATCATGGCTCCAGAGACCAACTATTATGGAACCATATGGATGAGTTCCTTTACCTTATGCATTACGATTTTGGGACCTTTGACCCTTTTCCTAACCTTGACGAGTTTTTGGACGATATAAAAGAAGTGTATCCACTTTAATTATTTGGTTTTGTATAATATATTTTTACTCTATGCTGACAGCTTACTGATTGGCTAACATTTCTCAAGGTCACTTAATGTTCGTTCAAATGTCGTCCATAAATTATAGTCTCTCCGCTAATAATACTGATACAGTGTTTAGTAAATGAATTGAATTCATTGAACTCCATAGACTTATCAGTCTAAGATGTTTTTCTTCAATAATAAGTCGTTCAAGAGGCACTGATCCAACAATCGTCAACAGATATAAAGTCGAGATTCGTAAAAGAAGATCTATGAAGTAGCGTAATTTGTCGAATATATATTTACAATTATTTTCCTCCAAATCCCATATCACACTTATACATACATGAATTCTTATATTCTCTGACTTCTATGCTTCTGTTTGACACATTGACGATTATTGTTAAGCATTTCTCAAATTATTGGATTTATTACTCAATTCGTTTCCACTTATGGGTTGATCATGCCTGTATTGTAATTTTTTAATTAAGTTTATGCTTGGTCAAGGTTTCGCTCTATTTCATTAAATGACTTGGGTTATAAAATCCAAATTTGTGGTTAGCGGTTATTTAATTTTTAGGGTATGTTTTATTCTAGATACAGGGTGGGTGGGTGCGGGTGAACTACATTCAGAACCAAGAGTCGTTCAATATTGTTCTCGGTTGTGATTACATTATCATTGTGATATTGATAAGCAGAAGGGAATTGGTACTACGAAGACAATCAGAGTAAAACAGTTAGTACTCGGATTACACCATTTTAACTGTTATTTTATAGTTCGGGTTCAATCACATAGGTCTCGATATCAACTCAAGTATCTGTATTTTTCCTGTCATACAATTAGTGTAATATTATTTTGTGTGTGTCAATTTACGTTTTCTAAGAGTTATTTTAAGTTTTTCTCTCACTTCTTATTATGTCCAAACAAATACATATACTAGTTTCAATGGTTGAGATTATGAATCAATTAAAGCTTGACCACCACGGAAAAACTAGAAGTACTGGATGGACGTTTCGTTCCATTGTAAGGCTCTTCAGCAGTTCGCATCCAGGTTTCCATATGGGTCTAGCTTTAATTGACTTATGATCTCAACTATTAAAATTACTATAATATCCACAAAAACCCTTTTCTGATATTTTGCTTTCCTTCCACCCCCCCCCCAGCTTTTTTGTAGCGGTGTTCAATCTGGATACTTCACAGAGAGAGTGACGTTGACATGGTAAGCTACACCTATGTCCAAATATGAGTTGATAGTTGATTTCATTTGATATGTTGGTTGTTATACTGTTTGATAAAAAATGTATGATAACGTAATATCAGCCTATAATCCGTCATATTTATATGTTGATAGGCTTGACCAAATTCGATTCAATTTATGAATGAGTCCATACATATTATAGTAGACGATGTGTAACATCATCAAAGATTCATCAGTTGTATTCATTTATCTGACGGCATTTGTCAATAAGCCACACCTATGTCCAAATATGAGTTGACAGTTGTATTTCATTTGATATGGTAGTCAAGACACTATTTGAAGTAATATGTATGATGACGTAATAGGGTTGGTATTATTGTTATTATTATCAAATAGGTGATTAATAAGTTAAACATTTCAATGGTCATCTTTAAGAAAACATCGTTATGGTGTTTCCTCCTTATTAAAAGTCATTCGTAGTACCTAAATGGGTTGTAGTTATTAACTCAGCAAGTAAATACATGATTTACGGTTATGTAAAGTAAATAATGGATTACTAAAATATATATCCTGTTTATAAGCATTTGTGAAAATGCAGGAGAAGACGACCAGTGTAGCAGTAGCCTCATCAGCAGTAGGTCTCAATAAACTCAAATGGAAAAGCAAGATTCTTCAATGCAACACAACATACACCAATCGAATTACACTCGACAGAAAAGCTTTGGAGGTTGTGTACACCTTTACATATCTTGACAGCCTCATTGATGAACACGGTGGATCTGATGCAGATATGAAGACGCGGATTGACAAAGCAAGAGCAGCATCTTTACAACTGAAGAAAATCAGGAACTCGAAACAACTGATATCAACCATCACCGAGATCAGAATTTTCAATACAAATGTCAAGACAGTTCTACTGAATTGAGGCAGAAACCTAGAGAACTACGAAAGTTACCATTCAGAACATACAGGTGTTTATGAACAGTTTTCTATGCAAGAAACTTCTGATCCGTTGTCCAGACACTATCACCAACATTCTACTTTGGGAGTGAACAAGCCAGATTCCATCCAGTGGTAGAAGTAATGAGGAAGGATCGCTGGAAGTGGATAGGACACACATTGATGAAAACAGCTAACTGAGTCACATGGCAAGCCCTCACATGGAATTCTGAAGGTAATGGGAGAACAGGAAGACCAAGGAACACATTACACAAAGAAATTGAGACAGACATGAGAAAGATGAACAAAAGTTGGATAGAACTAGAAAAGAAGACACAGGACAGAGTGGATTGGAGAATTCTGGTTGTACGTCTATGCTCGATTGGAGGTAACAGGCGTAAGTAATTAAGCAAATCAGCATTTGTGAAGTACGAATTCGTTGTCAGTGAAACTTTTTACAATTCTGGTTTATCGTTAAATACATACATCACAATAGATTAAACCTGGTTACAAGTTCTTTTCAATTGATTTATTATAATCAACATGATTGTACAGAACAATGTTCACTGTAAATAAGAAACATGATATCAAATATGATTGGAGTAAACATTGGAAGTGAGAATGAAGTGACAATATCTTAATGAATAATGTAAACTAAAAGATTCATCAATTGAATAATGTTTGGTTTTAATAGTTGTGATCATGTGTCAGTTGAAGATAGATCACCATGAAAAATCTGGGATCACTGGACGGATGTTTCGTTTTATTGTGGAACCCCTGAGCAGTGCCACAACAATCAATTTCTTCACAACATTGTAATACTGTTCTACATATCTGAAGAGCATGAAGATATGTAGCTCAGGTGGGTGATTTTGATGTAGGTTTGTTCTCTGAGCTGGATTCTTTGGTCGTGGAGCTTTCATCGTCCTTCTGGACGACATCATCAGCACAAACTTCTGGTAGATCAGAGAACAAACCTCCATCAAATATATGATCCCATAACAGTTATCACAGCCTCTTATACAAACAATATTCATCCACAGATTGATCGTAAATACACAGTGTTCACCATTTTATAAAAGATTTATTCCTAATTTAGTGAACGAGAACAATAGTACGGACAATCGAATGTATTGGAACAAGAAGTCACAGTACATCTTAGTAAAATCGGAGAACCATATAGTAAACATTTCATTTACAAAATGTTCATCAATCGTCTCAGATTTCATTGTTCCTTCGTTTCCACATCAATCCTTCTCTGTTTGTCGTTCGCTTTTCTTCTGTCATCTTAACCTTTTGCCGCCAGACATTTTACGTTCAATTGATGATGCATACTACTTCTATCTGTTGACATCAGTAGCACATAGCACACTAATAGCTATTGAGAATTGAATTAAATGAAACGTAATATTTGGGAATCATACATTACAAACAGCTCATCTATCAAAATTTGTTTACTTGCAGTTCTTAGATGACTTTTCATCAAGTGTATAGATTCTGTTAAACTAGAGTTTATCGAGTTTCATAAAAACATTGATTTTTGTCTGATCTCATTGATAGTTTAGAAATCCGACAAACATTTCAAAGGTAGTTATGACCAATTAAGCTGTTATCAAGTACCCATAATTCTGAGCACCATCATGAAACTATTGATTAGCTGTCAACTAAATGAAAGTAGCTTGATAACAGACATATTCATGACAGTTACTAAATGATTAATCCATAATCAATGTCAGTGTATGTATTCGACGTTGATGTTGACTTCGTTATTTTTAGTGGATTTAAATAGATAAAAGCAAACATCTACTGAGTTTTGTTGAACCACCTCAGGAAACGCATAACTTTATTCCTCTCATTACCCAGTGTACAAATCATACATTCAACCACTGCGGTATACCATTGAATATACTTCTACCCAATAGTCACTATAAACTTCTTCATTCAGTACATATTAGGTGAGCTTGCCTTATTAGACTGGTTAGCGTTTTTTTAGCGATTTGGTTTTATACGGGATAGGGTCGCTAATCCCGGGCTTGGGACCGGGAGTAGCCCCTGGAGGAGCTACAGGACGAGTTGCATTATTAGACTACTACTCCTCAAAGGACTTTGTATCAGTATCACGAGGCAATCATCATCAGCTGTGTTTTTGCGTCTTTATGCTTGTTGTTATTAATCCAACGATTAAAAAAGAACATCAAAGCAAAACAGACATTGTTCTTCGGGATTTTGGTATTCCAAACTCTTAAATGGGAGTAATAATTAAGTAGGATTCCAACAAACGGTTTTTTTTATCTGATAACCATTAAAACAACATATTGTTTAATTAGTCGTATATAAAATTTCATATCATTTCGATGATGATAGAGAACTGAATCGTTCTGTACAAACAAGAATAACTTTATACTTGAATTCATGAGTCAATTGAAAATTAGACCATGATGGACAATCTGAAAGCACTGGACGGTCGTTTCGTCCGATTATGAGACTCCTCAGAAGTGTGCACAGATACTTTTATAAAAGTATTCACTTAGTATTTTTTTGATTTTGGATCTTCCCATTAATGATTTAAGCACTGCAACTGGTCAGTCTCTAATTTCCATATGTGCATACTGTGCGTATTGCCTCGTTATAGCCTAAATTCATAAACATGGTAAGCATAGATGGATAGTGGCTAGCAGTGGAATCCAGTTTAATGCGCGTTTTGTCCTATTTGGGACTCGTTAGCTGGATATACCTGCATCTCAGAGTTCACGTTCATTGTAGGACAACTTAAACATTTTAATTTACATTGATTTAAACTAGAATAGTAGCACAATACATACAGTAACTCTCCTGTTTATATCTCAAATTGAAATGATCCCTAGTTGAACTGTTTTACTATGACATCAAAAAGAAGATGATAGAAACAAAAACTAAATGGGTTTACTGTTTTTCTATAATATGTTTGTGAGGTGAAAGACATGGACAATGCATAACGATGATTGTGAGTGTGTTAATATTTTGAAAGTAGAATAGATGTGCTGTACAACAGAAAATTGGCAACAAAACATATAAATCTGGAGGAACACAAGGTAACTAAGTAATTTTCAACTAAAATCGAAATTCGATGAACATATCTGAGATGAAATCGTGGTAAAATGTTGTGAATAGCATCAGCCCTTGAAGTCACTTCTAGTCTGAGCCATGTTGGCAGATGCAGACTACTTGGTTGGGGTCCGCGTGACTATCGTAACCAATGGTTGGAGACTCTGTGTGACATGACTCAGAATCGATCACAATGGCGTCGGTGTATACACTATTTATCTTCCCTTAAACTGTGAGGTTAAAATGGCTTCATATCTGTTCTTTCATCCTGTACTATATCCTTATATACAACCTTTCACTTATATATTAACACCATTAAGTCATCTACTTCTATGAATCCGGTATTCATCTTGTTGTGCAAATGAGGTATGACAACTTGGACCGACGGATATATATGACTGATCCTACATTGTAGCTGACTGACTTACTGTTGGAAAGGAAATAAACTTCGTTACATTTAGTTATTATCTTAATGCTCTCAATGTAGTGCTTTATTATTTATCATGACAATTAAATATTTAGAAAAATCACTATAACGGAAGTAATAAAAATCACTTATTTCTTACTGAAGACCCTCCATAATGTTGACAATTATTTGTCGGAGTAATAACAAAAAGCTGTAAATAGATAAATAAATTCAGTTATCCAGGACGAGGTATTACGGTGGTAGGTGTATGACATTGAAATGAAGGAATAGTGAGGTATGGTTAGTATATAAACTTAATATGTTTGAAAAAGAAGATTCTTAGCGCAGTGTCTGAGATTGGTATTCTGGACTAGAAAGCCGGACCCATAAGTACTCTAGACTACTCACACAGGTTTTATGCGTCATTGGTTCTATCGATAAATCACTGCTCTGTAATTGGCGATATTATCACGATATACATTAACTGGGCACCTAGGCTGCAAGATATAATAGTATTCTCGTTCATTACATTGTAGTGGCCTAAATCTGATTCCTTTTTGATCGTACGTACTGTCTATCCTCGTATGTAATAAATGACTTGATCCGCGTCGGTTAATAACGGAGTTAAATCAGTCAAATACGAGAATGGAGTTAGAATACATATATTTTCTACACTCATTTATCTGGCCATAGAACCAGAGCGATGTAGCGAACAGAAGCGAGCGAAGCAAAGATGATGCGTATTGGAGATGGCTGGGAAGCCAACTCGATTTAAGCAAGCGTTAATCAACATTTATAGTCGGACAAAAATGAGTGACAGACATATGATGAATAAGATACGAAGTGTACACATATATGCTCATGTAGAAGTATAGCCAAGGTTAATAAGCGAATAATGAACAAGATCAAAATATGACTCATGACAGGCGAATTGGCTTGGCCAGTAGCTAGGATGAAGTATATGGGATTAACAAATAAACTGATACTACAACATTACTGAAAAGCATACCATGGAAAATGGGATTCATTTGATCTATCTCATATGAGTGAATACAAAATCTATATTACTTGAATATTCATTTCAAGCATTAAAAGATACATATTGGTTAACTGATACAGATCGATGCAGACCCGTTAATTTACCACAAAAGATAGAAAGCGTTAATTTTCCCTTGAGCAGTGACTAATATTCTTAAACAATATTGAGGTGTAACCTTCTTCCTAACTCCGCCTGTAGCTCTTCTAGAGTTACTGCCGGTCTCAAACACGGGTAAAGGAGGAGGGTTGGGCATGGAGTTAGCGACCCCATCCCGAAGAAGAACTAACTCGCTAAAAAAACACTAACCAGAAAAAATAATTCAAACCATTTAAACTCATCTCTAGGATATGAAGCAATAATTATGACGTCTCATGATGAAAGCCGAAATTCTTCGGAAGTCACGAGACCGATGCACCTTCTAACAACCTGAGCAACACTCTTTATAGGTACATGGAACGACAATGTGGGAGACAGGAAAGACCAGCCAAATAGCAATGGAAATGAGGAGATACAACTTGGCAGTACTCGGAATCAGCGAAACACATTGGACACAAACTGGACAACAAAGGCTAGGTACAGGAAAGATGCTGCTGTATTCCGGTCACGAAGAGGAAAACGCTCCACACACTCAGGGAGTTGCTCTATTGCTGTCCAAATAAGCAAGAAATGCACTTGTGGGATGGGAATCTCATGCACCCAGGATAATCAAAGCATCATTCAGAACAAAGAAGCAAGAGATCACAATGAACGTTATCCAATGTTATGCACCCACCAATGATAGCAACGACGATGATAAAGATCAGTTCTATGAAAGGCTGCAATCAATTGTAGCAAAGTGCTCACGAAAGGACCTCACCATCCTGATGGGAGATCTAAATGCTAAAGTTGGAGTGGACAACACAGGATATGAAGATATAATCGGACGACACGGACTAGGAGAAAGAAATGAAAATGGGGAGAGACTTGCAAACCTATGTGCTTTCAACAAATTGGTTATAGGCGGCACAATATTCCCACACAAACGCATACACAAAGCTACATGGATCTCACCGGACCACACCACAGAGAACCAGATTGATCACATCTGTATCAACAAAAAATTCCGAAGATCAATGGAAGATGTGAGAACCCGGAGAGGAGCTGAAATAGCTTCAGATCACCACTAGCTGGTTGTGGCCAAGATGAGACTGAAGCTAAAGAATGACTGGACAACTGGACAAACAGCACTACAAAGGTTTAATACAGCCTTCCTTCGAGATACTGACAAACTCCATGAATTCAAGATAACTCTGAACAACAGGTTCCAAGCTCTACAGGATCTACTGAAAGAACAAGAAACTACTTTGGAGGACAACTGGAAAGGGATAAAAGAAGCACTAACTTCAACGTGTCAGGAGGTTCTTGGTCCTTAGAAGCATCATCACAAGGAATGGATCTCTATGGGAACCCTGGACAAAATTCAAGAAAGGAAGAACAAGAAACTAGCAATTAACAACAGCCGAACACAAGCACAGAAAGTCAAATCACAAGCAGACTACGCAGAAGCAAACAGAGAAGTGAAGAAAAGCATTAAAGCCGACAAGCAGAAATACATGGGAGAACTAGCAACGGCGGCGGAAGAAGCTGCAAGAGAAGGGAATATGAGACAACTATACGATACAACGAATTGAGAAAAAGATGGGCAGATTACTTCGAGGAACTGCTGAATAGACCAGCCTCATAGAATCCACCGAACATCGAAGCGGCACACATTGATCTTCTTATATCTGTCACTCCACCAACGATCGAAGAAGTCAAGATGGCCATCAGACAAATCAAAAGTGGGAAGGCGGCAGGACCTGACAATATACCATCAGAAGCACTGAAGTCAGACATTGAAATAACTGCAAACATGCTTCACCTTCTATTCAAAAAGATTTGGGAAGAGGAACAAGTGCCAACGGACTGGAAAGAAGGATATCTCATCAAGATAGCAAAGAAAGGAGATCTGAGCAAATGTGAGAACTTCAGAGGCATCAGTTTGTTATCAGTACCAGGAAAAGTTTTCAACAGAGTTCTGCTGAATGGGATGAAAGACGCAGTAGACGCCGAACTTAGGGATCATCAGGCTGGATTCCGTAAGGATCGGTCGTGCACAGACCAGATTGCAACACTACGGATCATCGTTGAACAATCAGTTGAGTGGAACTCATCACTATACATCAACTTCATTGAATATGAGAAGGCGTTTGACAGCTTGGACAGGAGAACATTATGGTAACTTCTTCGACACTAAGGAATTCCTGAAAAGATTGTCAACATTATCCAAAACTCATGCGATGGACTAAAGTACAAAGTGGTGCATGGAGGACAGCTGACAGATGCATTTCCAGTAAGGACCGGAGTCAGACAAGGCTGTCTACTCTCCCCATTCCTCTTCCTTCTAGTGATTGATTGGATTATGAAGACTTCGACATCTGAATTGAAATACGGAAAACAATGGACAGCTCAGAATCAATTAGATGATTTGGACTTCGCAGATGACCTAGCCCTCCTCTCTCATACACACGACCAAATGCAGATGAAGACAGCAAATGTAGCAGCAGCCTCTGCATCGATAGGCCTCCACATTCACAAAGGAAAAAGCAAGATTCACAAATGCAACACGGAGAACATCAACCCAATCACACTTGATGGCGAAACTCTGGAAGATGTGGAAACATTCAAGTACCTGGGGAGCATCGTTGATAAACAAGGAGGATCGGATGCAGATGTAAAGGCGAGAATTGGCAAAGCAAGGGCAGCATTTCTACAATTGCAGAACATATGGAACTCAAAACAACTCTCAACCAATTTCAAGGTGAGAATCTTTAATACGAACGTCAAGACAGTCCTACTGTATGGAGCTGAAACATGGAGAACTACTACGACCATCATTACGAAGGAACAAGTATGTGGGGAGTAGTGTAACGTCGTGTACTATATTACACCTACATAGCTTATTCTAGTTTCTGGACAAGCCAATTCACCTATAACGTTATGAGTCATATTTTGATCTTGTTAATTATTCCCTTATTGACCTTGACTATTTTTTTATATGAGCGTATGTGTATGCATATTTCTTATCCTACCTATCACATGTCTGTCATTCATTTTAGTCTGACTATAAATGTTGATTAATGCTTGCTTATAACGAGTTGGCTTCACAGTCAATCTCCACTACGCATTATTTTGCTTCACTCTCGAGTTGGCTTCTCCGTCATCTCCACTGCATGTCATTTATGTTCTGCTCTCATCCATTTACTTCATCGTTCTGATTCCCTGGCCAGATCAATGAGTGTAGGAGATATATGTATTCTAACTCCATTCTCGTATTTGACTGATTTAACTCCATTATTAACCGACGCGGATCAAGTCATTTATTACATACGAGGATAGACAGTACGTACGATCCAAAAGGAAACAGATTTAGGCCACTACAGGTATTTATAAATAGTTGTCTACGCAAAATACTGAACATCCACTGGCCGGATACTATCAGCAACAGCGTTTTATGGGAGAGGATAAACCAGATTCCAGCTGAAGAGTAAATTGGAAAAAACGTTCAAAGTGGATGGGACATACATTAAGGAAATCACTAATGTGCATCACGACTAAATCCCCAACTTGGAATCTGGAAGGGAAGCGGAAAAGAGGAAGGCCAAAGAACACACTACGTCGGGAAAAAGAAGCGGATATGAAAAGATGAAAAGCAACTGGAAAGTACTGGAAAGGAAGACTCAGGACAGAGTTAGGTGTAGAATGCTGGTGAGCGGCCTATGCACCTCGACGAGGGTAACAGGTGTAAGTAAGTAAGTAAGTAACCTTCTTCCTTCTAAATTTTTACATAAAGCATTCTGTACTTAAGGAGATCACTGCCGTAAACTATTCTTTATGAATGAATAATTCTATAATCTAATTATATGTGAAAATTATACTTGATATTTGAAATCATGAGTCGATTAAAGGTAGATCACCATGGAAAACCTGGAAGTACTGGGTAGCCATTTTGTCCTATTGTGTGACTCTTCAGCAGTGCGTATCCACGACCACGCCTCGCGAGATTCAAACCCAGGATCTACCAGTCTCGCGCCAGAGCACTTGACCGAAACGGCCGTCTAGTGTGTAGTGTTCGGCCAGTCTCGATAAAAACACGATTGGAATAACAAAAAAAATTATTATTGTTGTAATCAATTGTACCAGAGATTATTTTACTGTATTTGTTTAACTGTATCAGTTTCACTTCTTGTTTCGCTATCCGCCTTGTTTGGTTCAAACTTGCTCACGCACTGCCCATTTTGCCTGTACTCTTTGGCACGTTTCGGTATTATTTCGATACCACGAGATCGCCAATAAATATACTTGGTCTGGATTAATAAAGCTTTCTGATTTACGAGCTATCAAAGGAACCAAGTCGTTTTTGGGCGCGTAATCGAATTGTAGTGGTGACCATAGTCCGTCCTCGACTCGACATCCACTACAAGTGCTTCCGGATTTTCCGTGGTGGTCTAGCTTCAATTGACTAATGATTTCAACTATCAATACTACTGAAATCTCCACAAAACCCCTTCTAATTATATTTGAAATAATCTCAAAGATTGAAATTTAAATAACGATTCTAATGCTTCATTCATCAAACTTGTCTGAACCTCTTCAGAGTAGACCAGACAGGTTTATTAGACGAAGTGTTTGTCAATATACAATCTCAAATATTGATAAACTTACTGCAATATGGTCTTCTTCATACTGAAAAGAACCACAATTTATACTCAGTCGTGAATATTATTTTTCTGAAATATGGTTATAGAAAATAAATATTCCTCAAGCGATCACCTTTCCTCTTAACTATGGATGTAAGTAACTTACAAAGTATCAGATGTATTGTTTCGAGAGTTTCGATTTCTATCAGAAATTATGAAAGAACGACATGCTGCCATTACGTAGTTCGTGACTGTCATTTCCACAAACGTCATAAGGATAACTCAGACATTGATGACGTTGTTTGCAACACTTCAGCTTCATATCGCAACCTACACTTCTATGGTAAAAATGGGAAAGATTTCAAATCCAATCATACCAGTTTATACTACTTAGATTTAAACTACAATCAAATTACAATGATGCACAGTTCACAGTCAAACAATGAATGATTATAGGCAACAAAATTTTTATTCCTTATCATATGAGCACACACCTTCAAAAACAAGTTAATCAATCACATCCAAAGAAGTCTTATCACTGGGGTTCAGGAATCTCAATAGCCGTGCAATAGATGTCAGCTATAGATCAAAATCACTTTCCTTATTTATTTTATATAAAACAATCTGTGCTTGCAGAAATCAATCATATAGAATACACGTTAGAAACAAATAACCATAAGGATTTATCTGGTAATGGAAATTGAAAATATTCAATCCAAAGAATTTATCATTAATCTTACTGATAGGAGATCCCTCTCATCCTGAAAAGAAAACAAGAGTATTGAATTCTCTTGTTACGATCAAACGCTAATAATTTAATTTTTATTCGTTATGTTATCAGTTGGTAAACCATGTGCTCACTCATGACTGGCTTCGTGAAGGAATTCTTGGAGTTGTAGTGAGAAATCGTAACCAGTGGAACTAATCCATATCAGGTAAAGACAGGAGTCTATCTCAGTACAATGGAAGATGGTCGCGCAATTTTGTGGATTGGTTGGGGTTAGACCTTAACACCGTTGGATGCCGGCTCAGTGGTCTAGAAGTTATACGTTCGTGTGCGAGACCAAAGGTCCTGAGTTCGAGTAGTGTGTCCAGGATCGTGGATGCACATTGATTAGGATCCATAGAACAGAACCAAATGGCTGTCCAATGCTTCCATCTTTTCACTGATGGTCTAACATCAATCGATTCATGATCTCAATCAAACACATAATAATCTCCACAATTCCATACTGACAAATCAATGAAACTCAAGGAAATCGATACAAATATGACTGCCTAAAGCATAATTCCGAGAATATTTGTTTGGTGGGACTCAGCAACTTATGAACAACAGTAGTGTTACAAAGTGAACACGTTATCTAATAATGTCGCTGCAATATTCCGCCTATTGACAACTCTAAGTGTCAACTGTAGTTTAGTTTATTTGGTTACACATTCATGATGACTGAGAAATGCTGCATTTTGAGATACAACGTTGATATGAAGTATACAACAGTGTTCATGACATTATTTTGATTGCCTTTTGTTTTATACTGTGTAGTCATCATCACCGTATCCAAAAACATAACTTGCTACTTTAGATAATAGGGCGATGAATATTACAAATGTCCTTTGTCATATAGCGTTCGTCGAGAATAGCAACTATTTGACTTTCTAAGATCCGGCAATTCTGATTTGACTAAAAGCTCATGGAGCTTCATCTTATCTACTTCAATATTGCCTGATACAATGTAATACGAATTGATTATTCGAATCTTTCAATTCAGAACCAGGGACCAAATTCGTGTTTAACAAATCGATTAGTCGAATGACTGGATCATCTTATAACTCATCTTTTTATGTTTCGTTTATTAGGTTTGAGAGAGAGAAACAGTAATAGATCGATCTATTAAGGTGTATTTCCCTGGAAATATTTCACTCAAATATGTATGCTCCTATTCGATAATTACCGGAGAATTTGGAGAAAAACTAAAGAACTCTTTGACTTCAGACAGTCTTAGGATTGTGTAAATAGATATCCCCGTATTTGATGCAGACCATAAAATACTTATTCAACGTTTAACACGATACAATCAGGATATTGATGTCGAAGATTAAAGTTTATTCGTCTACAAACTTTATTCAAGAGGGCTTAGACATACTGCAACACAGTGGAAGCGCGAGAACAATGAATAAAATTATCTAAAGATTATCTTTAAAGAGAACAGCTACCCAATCAACTTCATCAAAAAATACGAACCAAACGCATCAGCAGAAACAAAATCCAGTACAGAAACCAACGAATGGATCATCCGACCATATATTAGAAATTACAACGAACCTTTTGAGATAAATGTAGCACACAAACCAACAAAATCACTTTGATCCATTCTATGTAATTCAAAGAAAGAGATGACAAGAGCGGGAAAACCAAACATCATCTACAAAATAAATTGTTCCAACTTCAAGAAACACTACATCGGACAAAGTGGACGCTCTCTTCATCTTCGCCTATATGAACATCAATTAGCAGTCAAACGCTATGATATATCCTCACTTATATCAATGAATTTGGACAACTGTGGACATACTTTCGACTGAAAAAATACTGAGAACTTGGATATAGGGAATACTAAAAACATCAGAGAATTTTTAGAAGCTTGGCACTCAGGTCTATCAGCAATCAACAAACACAAATTGAAATTCATCCGGCTTATCAACCAATCAGAAGAATCATGGAAAAATATAATACCAAGGATCAAATCAATGAGTGATACAATCAGAATAGCGAAATGAACAATGACAGATTAAAGGTCAACAATAAACAATGAATATCAAGGTCTACTGGACAAGCTGTTAACCAAATGTGGAGAAATTCGGACACTTCACTTCTACCTAAAGTTTATGCTGATGATGTTGTTCAGAAGAACGATGAAATCTCCAGGACCAAACCATCCAGATCAGAGAAAGAAACAAAGCGGATTCCCTCTTCATCAATTAGCAGTCACACAGTATGACATAGCCTCACTTGTATCAATCAATTTGTACAAATGTGGACATACATTCGACTGAAAAAATGTTGAAAACTTAGGTAGAAGGAATCGTACAGTAACTCACACTTGATTTAGTACACTAAAATATAACATGAATACAAATGTTATAAACTAGACTGTAATGTATGTATTAAGATATGAAATACATTTCATTTGATTAGTATAATACGATGAAATGCTAATAACTTGGGTATTAAACACTATACTGAACTAGAATGGTCAGTAGTATTAACTGTAACTTATGAAATAGGCTAACAACCAACTGGCTTCAAGAGTTGAAGTTCCTTGTAGACCTCTGCCTCAATAATTGAATCAGTCTACTCTCCACTGGGAGGGCAGAACAGTTTGATCGATGTCACTGGAGTAGTAGACCAGCTGAGCCGTCCATCAAAAAAACTTTGTTTATTTTCGGCAGCGTTGACAGATGCTGTTGTTTGGCTTCACATCAGCCTCACACATTGTTTCACTCACACCAAACCTCTTGCTGCCAGTGAATTGGATGAGTTTGGAAAGCTTCCAGTAGTTATTGAATACCGGTGCTTCATACAACTTATTAGCGTTTGTGGACTAATTCAAATCAAGAACAAGGAGACCATATGAGAATGCCTACGAAACTGCTCCCGACGGAATATGATGTTGAAGATTTATGTTAGAGAACTACTTTTTCTTGAAGCAACTGAACCTGTTTATGTGGACTGTGAATTGTCAATTCATCTAACCTGCTTTCTGGTTGGAAAAAACTGTAAGATCATTCTTGAACACATCTCACTAGTTATTCACATTTCTCTGTTGGGTTAGACTTAAAGATCTCACGGGTATTCAGAGTTTGACAATGCTTTTGACCGCAACATCTTTACGAATCTAGTCAAATCAGATATCGGGAATGAAGGAGTTTGAGGCTATACATGGAAAGCAGTTGATATTTTGAGAAACGATTGGTTAGAGCTGGATGATTGTCGTGAGTAATGGGTAGTACAGAGTACCCACTCGTGATCTGTTAAGAATGTGTGACTGAGAGCCTTTAGCTATGGTGTGTCCAGGACAACTGTTATAACTTGTGACTCTGTGCCTTATTAATATATAACGTAAGGATCCCCCAATTAGAGAACAGTGACTCATCGACCGGACTAATGATACATAAACCCGTACGAGCAGTCTACAGTCTTCATCGACCCTTATGCCTGCCTAGGTCTCAATATACACAGAGGGTAAAGCGAAATTCTCCTATACAATACAGCATACACCAATCGAGTCACACTTGATGGAGAAGCTTTGGAAGATGTAAAAACCTTTGCACACCTGGGAAGCATAATCGATGAACATAGTGGATCTGATTTAGATTTGAAGATGCGAATCGGTAGAGCGAAAACAGCATAATTACAACTGAAGAACATCTGGAACTCAAAACAACTGTCTGTCAACCAACACCAAGGTTAGAATTTTCAATACAAATGTCAAGACAGTTATACTGTATGGGGTGGAGACGTGGAGAACTACGAAAGCCATCATCCAGAAGATACAGGTGTTTATGAACAGTTGTCTACACAAAATACTTATAACCCGTTGGCTAGACACTATCAGCAACAAGTTACTGTGGGAGACAACAAACCAGATTCCAGCAGAGGAAGAAATCAGGAAGAAGCGCAGGAAGTGGATTGGGCACACCTTGAGGAAATCACCTGATTGCGTCACAAGACAAGCCCTCACATGGAACCCTGAAGGTCAAAGGAGAAGAGGAAGACCAAAGAACACATTACGCCGAGAAATGGAGACAAATATGAGAATGAACAAACGTTCAACAATATAACATCAACAAAGGTTCTGTAAAGTACTTACGTAAGTTCTTAGACCATGACTCTAAAAATTTAATATTATCAAACTTTTGGAATAAAATGTAAGTAAATTTATCATTTATGAAGCAAAAGCTCTCTTAGTAATCAAAATCTGATCATCCCCTTTATTATTTTCATTATGAATACTAAGATTATATGGATAATAATATCAAACAAATATGTCTCATATTATCAACCAAATGGGAAAAACAAATGAGGTTAAGCGCTTGCGCACGAGACTGACAAGTTCTGGGTTCGAGTAGTGTTTGCGGGATCTTGCCTGCGCACTGCTCAGGAGTCCCATAATAGGACGAAACGGTCATCCAGTGCGTCCAGGTCTTCCATGGTGATCTAGATTCAATTGACTCATGATTTCAACTATAAAATCACTAAAATCTCTACAAAACTCCCTTCTTATAAAAATAAATGAATATTGAAGAATGACAATGTGTTTAATTGAGACTTATTTATTGATCATACTTTACGGTCTTGCTCAATGAGGATGAGAAATATATCCTGCAGTTGGGTCAGTGATTATCGAACAATTCATCGATCCCTTTCAAAGTCAAGGACAACTAACGTGCATCATTTCATCATACGCCATGCATTGCCCCATGAGGCATTGGTTTTACTTCCGTTTGTATCTACTTTAACTAATATATTTCTGTGATGATCTTCTTTGTGTTATACAGTTTTCAGAGTATGCATAGTACCTTGATACGTCGATGGGGCAATCCATGTAATTTGCTTACCATGAGATGTAACTTCAATGGTTTGTCAAACCATTCCCATCTAACTCTAATAGGCCCACAATCAATCGACAGAGATCATCAACGTTGATGATCTACAATTTCTAATTGTTCACATAGAAACAAAAATGTAATCACTTACAAAATTAGTGGGATATGTACACTAAGTTATAGGTTACATAAAGGTATTTGAGTTAATCATACAATGAAAAAGAGCTTTTATTAAGTTGTGAAAGATTCAAAATAGAAATAATTCGAGTGTATGATTATGATGAAACATGAGTATTACCCTATTTCCTTCTACTTTATGAACATAAGAATGAAGGTAACGAAATCGCTTAGTATACGTAAAATAAGTTTGTAGTGCCGAAACTTTCCATGTATTACTCAACAGAAAAGAAGTTATTACTGTCCATCCGAATTGAACTATCTCCCCGACCTATCATTTCTGGTTCTACTTATAAATTACAGTGTTATCATGCACACATGTTCAAGTCTATCTTTTGACATTACAAATGTCATATTTCTCACACCGATTAACGTACACTCAAATATACGAGTATGTCTCCTCACCTTCACGGGAGTGATATGACAGGGATTTGTTCAGAACTGGGTTTTTTTTCGGTTGAACTTAGTATTTTTTGTATCTTTCCTTTAAACCACTTAAACTTTATTTATTTATTTCTTCTCTGTAGAAGCGGCTTATTTTTTTTCCTCCCATTGGGATATTACAAATGTCTCATATTTTATTAGTGTTGTGGACGTTAGATCCCTAGAACTCATTTGAAAACCGTCCTAATTCCGTAATTTTATTCTGAAAATTTTAATTCTATGTTTTCGCGCCAAGACATGCTTAGTTGACCTATAGCTTAAATTTCCCACCCGGAAATCCATGACTGTCATTGGTTGACGGATTTTTTTAGTACGCTATTTTGTGACTCTCACAAAGGCGTTTCTATCATTGTATAAATAAACCTAATTTGTGTGTTTGGTGTTTTGTGCTTTGTATTTTCTGGGATAATGTAGAAAATCTTATCTACACCTCATCAACAGTTCTTGATCTAGTTAGTTGGGCTGGGGACAATCGATTAGAGCAACCTACCGTGTAACTGTGTCATTGACCTTCGTTCCGTTTACCGAGTCAGGTGAACTCGTAATAGCGAAATGAATATTGAAGCATGAATATGACTCAATTCATTGGCATAGCAACTATGATAAACTAGCTACATCAACTTACCAAGTAATCTTTGTCTATGTTCTAGAGATAACTTTATGGTTAGCACATTTTTCATTGAATAAATTGCGTAAAAGAAGTCGGATTGTTTATAATAAGATGGAAATTGCCAATTTTGTTGACACTTTCTATATAAGAATAACACTAGTAAGTTGAGCAGTAAGTTAAGGCTATCTATCTTATTTAGTATACAATAGAATAACATGTTTACTTTACTTTACTTATGCCTGTTACCCCTCATGGAGGAGCGTAGGCCGCCCACCAACATTCTCCATCTAACTCTGTCCCAAACAATCCTTTCTAGTTCTTTCCAGTTAACATTCATCCTTTCCATATCTACTTCTATCTCCTCTTCCCTTCAGGATCCCAAGTTAGGGATTGCCTCATGATGAAGTTTGGTGATTTCCTTAATGTATGTCCTATCCACTTCCAACGTCTTTTCCTAATTTCCTCTTCAGTTGGAAGCTGATTTGTCCTCTCCCATAAAACGCCGTTGCTGATGATATCCGACCAGTGAATGTTGAGTATTTTGCGAAGACAAATGTTTAGAAATTTCCTTTTCAGGTACCTCTAGATGAACCCTTCCACGATGTGGGCAACCGGGAAGTGATAACTGCCCTAATACCTCTAACAGCATTCTTTCCCTATAAAGCTTGTGACTTCAGGCAATATTGAGGTAGTCTATGCGGTATGAACCTATGCCAACAAGAGACTGATCGATTGCAGTCCCAAAAAACAATGAGAACATACAAGCAAACAACGTCAAGTTAAACATGAATATATATATATATATATATATATATATATATATATATATATATCACATTCTCTATGCAATTTTCCTTAGAGGAATAACTAACTATGTAATAACTTACAATTTCACGAAAAATACACTAAATTGTAATATCCATACAAAGAATTCTATTAGCCATATATATTCCAAATGTATTTTTGTTGCCTAGGTAACAATCTAATACAAAATTTGATAGATTCTTTACTTATGATAGAGCTTCAAAACTGTGGTATCCCCATGAGGATAAGGTTAGTGATACATGTAAATCAAACACTTTTTGTTTCGTATTAATCTTAGAAGAGATGTGGTTGCTATGGATGAGTTTCCTACAAACTAATATGAACTATTGAAATGGAAAGAAAAAAGAAGAAGTGAAGTATTGGCGGCTTGAATCATTTAGGCATGTTGGTGAATACAATTTCAGAAGGGAATGCTGTTATTCATTTAGTATTCATCTGTGAGCTCATTAATTGTAAAACGCTGTTAATAATTTCCTATAGTGTTAATGACTGTATTGGACTGTATTCAGTTATGAAAATGTCATCATCACTTACTTTTATAAAATCAGTTAACTATAAAATACATGTGTGCCATTACATCCTTCTTATTTGGATACATATATATATATATATATATATATATATATATATATATATATATATATATATATATATATATATAGATATATATGTAGTACAGGAAGAAAGAAAGATATGAGGCAATTTTAATTTTAGTCACGCGGACCCCAACCAAGTACTCTGCATCTGCCAACATGGCTCAGACTAGAAGTTATTGACATCAAGCACTGATGCCATGTTTTGGTTTGACCACTCCTAACTCTTTTCCGACTATCTCCAATACTAGTCACCATAGCTCGTACTGGTAATCGATGTTCAGACAAACTTAACTCGTGACCAAACCATTTCAGTAGATGAAGATTCACAACCTCATCAACTGATTTACCATTATTCCCTAACCTCACTATTACTTACCCTGTGATCCAAGCAGATGCGAGCAATATTTCTAAGACATCTGTGGTCAAATACTAGCAACTTGCGAGTATCTTCTACTCTTAATGGCCATGTTTCACAGCCGTAAAGTAGAACAGAGCGAACTGCTGAGCAGTATACTCGTCCCTTAATTGATAGACGGGTATCTCGTCTTCACCATAGGTGACATAATTTGGCAAAAGTCATACGAACTTTTTGAATCCATGATGAGATTTTGTAAGACAGCAACCTATTTGGTCTGATCAGACTTTCAAGATTAGTGAAGTTGTCGATGTGTTTGACTACTAGTATTTCAGATGCTATGTTAGTCAAACTAATCACTCTATGGTTATCACAGGACGATTTTGACCCCTTCTGATATATTAGGACAATAAGTGATCAAGACCAGTCAGATAGGATTATGTCTAACTCCCAGATTTTAGTCAACCTAGTCGCTAACATTGGACCACCATAGTTAAACACTTCTGGATACAATCCGTCTGGATCATCTACTCTTCCTCGTTTCAGATTAGCTATAGCCTTTTCAATTTCAACTAGAGTTGAGAGACCTACTTCAATTCAGGTTTTTCTGGGAATAGTGGGTAACTGTATTGTACCTGAAGACCAGCTGAAATGCGCCTTACAGTGTTCAGCCCATCGTTTTAAACGTCTGGGCTGAGAGCAGATAAGTGTTTCGTCTTTTTCCTAGATTGTCTCACTTACACTTGACCTCTTAATTCCGGTTTCTTTTATTAGTCTGAAGAGTTGCCTGGTGTTGCCCACGGCCGCTGCCTTTTCCATCATTTTTACCTTCGTTGCCTGTTGTGAACAGAACACTAGTTGGGGACAATCGAATGTATTTAAGCAAAAGTTACAGACTATCTCAGTAAATTCTGATAACCAAACAATGAACAGTCAATTTGCAAATTAATAACCAATTGTTTCAATCTTCACTGTTTCTTCTCTAATTCCATTGCTCATGCATTTTCCAAACGATTGCGCTTCATTTCAGTTCTTTCCTCATCGGTCTTCTGCCAAAATACATTCTATGTCTGACCCACACCATATACTACTTATATGGATATAAGTAGACAACACCACAGCCCACCACTGCTAACGATCGTTGCTTAGACTTTTGTTTAACCTAGATCTTATTCGTTTTCGAGACTATTTTCGTTTCCCTTTTTGAGCAGTAGTGTGGTGTGAGCTACTTATATCCACATTAGTAGTATACAACTATAGTCAGAAATATAATGTATTTCAGTAGAAGATCGAGAAGGAAAGAACGGAAACGGAGAGCGATTGGCATGAAAATGCAGGAACAATGTAATGTGAGATGATTGACTGATACTTGGAAAAAGAGCAGTCAAGTTTTAGACAAATGGTTGATATTTTGCAAATGAAGTATTTACTATGTGATTATCAGGTTTCAATAAGATTGTTTACACGGCTGTACCTCCTCAATACAATTCAAAGAAATCTCATTCAAAAGGGGGTTTTATGAAGATTTTAGTAATTTTATAGTTGAAATCATGATTCGATTGAAGCTAGATAACCATGGAAAACCTGAAAGTACTGGACGACCGTTCCGTAAAATTTTGGGACTCCTCAGCTGTGCCCATCCACGATCCCGCCTAGCGAAACTAGAACCAAAGACCTATCAGTCTCGCGCGTGAACACTTAACCTCTAGACCACTTAGCCGGCTGGCATCCAAAGGTGTTAATGTCTAACTTCAACTAATACCCGAAATTGAGCAACCATCCATCATTGTTTTCAGTCAGTTGATATCTCACAACAGACCTAGTTGAACACCACTGGTCACTTCTACCTGGAACTCCAAGAAATACCTCTTGAAGCCAATCACTAGTGAGCATATGATTCATTCAGGATTGATTTATTTCCCAGTTAGATTTATAAATCTGTTAGATCGGCTTACAATAAACTCTATCAGAGCCTCCAGAGAGGCTCATAAAGAGACCAACCAATCAGCGATTAGCTAGAAGCTATGCTACTAAAATGCTACTAAAATAACAAGGTCCTGATTGGCTGTTAACATACTGTTACTATGGGATCTCGAGGTCTTTTGGCTACTATAAAACCCCTGTTTTTCTGTACATAATTCAACCTTGTAGTAAAGTGCTTCTCTGATACTCGTGTCTTCTCTCTGGTCTTCCAAGTCGCTGAGTAGTGCTAGCCTGGGGTTATCCGAATAGCTTAGGATCTGAATATAGCGTTCAACCCACAAGACATATCAGTGGCGACGGGGAAAAACTACAAGACATATCACTGGCGACGAGAAAAAAAATGACAATGAGTATTTCTTTAGAGCAATTTGAAGCTTATATGGAGCGTCAAGAAAAACGGTTTGAACAGTCTCAAATCAGAGTCATGGAAGCTCTTATGCAGAAATTATGTATGTCTCAACAAAACTCTGCTGCTGGTGAATTTCAAGTATCTCATACTGACTCAGTTATTAACGCAATCCATGAATTTAATTTTGATGGTGCAGCAGGTGTCACTTTTAACTCTTGGTTTAAGAAGTATGAAGATTTGTTTCATATTGATCTCTGCAGATTGGATGACGCTTCAAAAGTCAGAATACTTCTAAGAAAGCTTGGGACAACAGAACATGAACGCTATAGTAACTTTATTCTCCCGAAGAACCCACGAGACTTTAGTTTTGATGAAACAATTCAAACCCTGTCTCAAATCTTTGGAGAACAGTCGTCTCTATTTAATATCCGTTACCAGTGCTTGAAGATAACGAAAGAATCAGGAGATGACTGGGTGAAACATGCAGGTATTGTGAACCGAGAATGCGAGAGGTTCAATTTGTCTTCCATGTCTGAAGACCAGTTTAAATGCTTAGTATTTGTCTGTAGCCTGCGTTCACCTGAGGATGCTGACATCCGAACGAGAATCCTAAGCAAACTTGAGCATTGTCCCAACATGACCCTGCAGGAAGTGACTAATGAATGTCAAAGGTTAGTGAATTTGAAGCACGATACCTCGATGGTAGAAAACATTAACCAGTTCCTCCACGTTAATGCTGTTGAGAGGAAAGTCGAGCAAGGTTCCAGTATACAGAATTATCGAAATGACTGCGGTAAACCATCATCCCCATGCTGGTTATGCGGAGGTTGGCATTTCAAAAGGTTTTGTCCGTTTAAAGTCATTGTTGTACTACGTGTTCCAGGAAAGGACACAAAGAAAGTCATTGCAAAACCCGTAAACGTCGTCAACCTAAAGTTTATTCTAAAAGATTCAAGCCACGCACAGCCAAGGTGACGGTAGCTGCTAACAGAATCGGCTCCCATAATCGTAGAAAGTATGTTTCCCTCAAGATTAACGGGTACGATGCCCGCTTACAGCTAGACACAGCCTCCGATATAACGCTTATAAGCAGGAGGACGTGGGAGAAAATTGGGAGGCCGAGAATATTTTCAACCTATCAGACAGCACACGGCGCATCTGGGGGGATTATAAACATTGCTGGTGAGGTTCACTGTAAAATCACAGTCGCAGAGCTTACAAAGAAGGGAGTAATATTTTTAACAGAACGGCCAGCACTCGACTTATTGGGACTTGATTGGATAGAAAAGTTGAAATTATTAGATCGTCCCATAAATTCAATCTGCAACAACGGCACTATGTCGAAAGTTGGGGGAGGTTGAAGTCAGCAAATGCAGTCTGGATACCTACCCCGCTTCTTCAAAAAAGGGGAGGTGTTAGATCGGCTTACAATAAACTCTATCAGAGCCTCCAGAGAGGCTCATAAAGAGACCAACCAATCAGCGATTAGTTAGAAGCTATGCTACTAAAATGCTACTAAAATAACAAGGTCCTGATTGGCTGTTAACATACTGTTACTATGGGATCTCAAGGTCTTTTGGCTACTATAAAACCTCTGTTTTTCTGTACATAATTGAACCTTGTAGTAAAGTGCTTCTCTGATACTCGTGTCTTCTCTCTGGTCTTCCAAGTCGCTGAGTAGTGCTAGCCTGGGGTTATCCGAATAGCTTAGGATCTGAATATAGCGTTCAACCCACAAGACATATCAAAATCCATAAAAAACATTAATTTACTATTTCTTATCATTCACTTACACATGAACATACTTCATTCGTTTCATTAAACACAAACCAAGTTCGATTTAACTACAAAATATTATTTGGATAGAAATAGAAAGTTGACTCAATTGAATTTAGAAAATTATTAAAAAATGTAGTGGTTTAGATAGAAGAACATACTTTTCCCCCATTGGTAAGAATAAGCCAATCTATATCTTTCTAAAAAATAGGAGGGGGTATTGGAAATTTAATCAGTCGCTTGTCATAACATCAAATGAATGAATATTATATAATGCTAGCAATTCATTACAAGCTATAACAATCATCAAAGTTGTGTAATGCTTAGTCGATAGGATTCGATCTGCATTAAGAAGGACCTGATATACATGATATTGATCACCACTCAGTGACCAATCAATTTTAAATACATCTCCATGAGCATAGGGTTAGCGATCCCATCTCGTAGAAAACTAACTCTCTGAAGAAATGCCAACCAGAACTGTTGGGCGGCCTGTGCTCCTCCACGAGGGTTAACAGGCGTAGGTATGTTGAACATGTTACCAGATAACTTGACAGATTATTAACTTAGCCAATTCATTTTCAATGATAAACATTTCACCAATTGTCATCTACATCTGTTTCCGTTTGTTATTCAAGGTAACAAATCTCCTCATTCTCTCTCTACTTTTCATTTTGTACCAAGTCATATATCTATGCAAAAGTAATGTGTTGTATTGTTTAATTGAAATATTGGAACATTGATTCATTCAGTGAACTATGACTTACTCTCCAAGTCCCACTTCCTATAGATATCAATGAAGCATTTACATCAAAACTGATTATGATAACTTGTACAATATTGACAAGATAATGTATTAAGTAGAAGAAAATACAGAAGTTTAATGTTCTTTATGAAACATAACAATATGTAGTTTCAAATTAGAGATACAGAGAAATTAGATAAATGATCAAGCTACCAAAGTACAACTCCACCTGTAGCTCTTCTAGAGTTACTGCCAGTCCCAAACCCACACAAAGGAGGAAGGTTGGGCCAATCCATCCCGTGGAAAACTATCTCGCTAGAAAACGCTAACCAAAAAAAATTCAAACCATTTATACTCTGCCCTGGGAGTTCAAGGAAGAATTATGACACCTCAGCATAAAAGCCGAGATTCTTTCGAAGTCACGAGGCCGATGATTTTTCTAACAACCAGAACAACAGTTTTTATAGGTACATGGAACGTCCGGACAATGTGGGAGACCGGGAAGACCAGTCGGATAGCGATGGAAATGAGGAGATACAAATTGGAAGTCCTACTGTATGGAGATGAAACGTGAAAAATTACTACAACCATCGTCAAAAAGCTAAAACTATTTATAAACAGTTGTCTTCGCAAAATGATCAACATTCACTGGTCGGATAGTATCAGCAACAGTTTTTTGTGGGAGAGGACAAACCAGCCTATAGCTGAAGAGGAAATTAGGAAAAGACGTTAGAAGTGGATCGGACATACATTAAAGAAATCACCAGACTGCATCACGAGGTGATCCCTAACTTGGAATTCGACGGGGAAGCGGAAAAGAGGAAGGCTAAAAAACGCATTACGTCGGGAAAAAGAAGCATATATGAAAAGGATGAATGTTAACTGGAAAGGATTGCTAAGGACAGTGTTGGCTGGAGACTGCTCTTGGGCGGCCTTCGCACCTCTACGAAGGGTAACAGGCGAAAGTAATTATGTACCAAATTACCTTAAGATTTCAATTTTCTTAGGGACAATTCACACATTAAAAAGGTCTAAAATCTATCAGCAGCTAATCAATAAAACAGGCTTCTATATCGATAATGTTCACAAACACCATGATAGTGAATATAGAAGTTCAAGTCACTTGCCTTGTTTTATATATGATTGACTGTTTTAAAATGTCAAATATATTTGAACCATTTCAGAAATGATACAAATCAAGGTTGATATTTTTTGGAAAATACATCTTTAAGAAATCGAATACTTGGACATAATTAGATTCAGTCAATAAAGGTGATTGATCTATGTATACTGGATGGATGAACTGAGGAGGAAGCATATATGAAGGGGACAATCGATACCATTAATGGAACGTATTTTCTGACAGTTTACAACTAGTCGAAATCATGACTTCTATGTATAAACTGTTTTAATGTATGATCAATTTGATTTTAATAATTGAATTCGTGAGTGAATCTAAGCTAGACTACCAATGGATGCTCACTGCTGAAGAGTCCCATAATAGGACGAAACGACTATCCACTGTTTCCAGGTTTTCAATGTTGATCTAGCTTAGATCGACTCATGAATTCAACTATTAAAATTACTACAATCTCTATAAATTCCCAATGTAATAAAATTTGATTTTGTCAGATCCCAAGTACTTTCCAATGTTATTCAACCAAACATAATATTTATTTTAATAGTTGTGATTATGAATCAATTGAAGGTAGACCACCATGGAAAACCTGGAAGTACTGGATGATCGTTCCGACCTATTGTAAGACTCCTCAACAGTGTGCATCCACGATCCCGCCTCATGAGATTCGAACTTAGGACCTATTCTTTTCTTTGATAACATTACATTTATACTTACCATCACTTTTGAAGACTATCAAAAATAGAGACCAGAAAATAAGGATAAAACATGGTGATATAAACACTTGATATGGAGTCAATATCATATTCCTGTTAGCCATTGATTATGTCATAAATAAGAATTCCCAATAGAAATGATAATTATCTATTCATCAATCACTTTGATCTGTCCTATTTATATATTGATAGGCTTGACCAATTAAATTCAAGTCGATACATACTACAGTAGACAACATGTAACATTACCAAAGATTCGTCAGTTGTATTCATTTATCTGACTGCATTTGTCAATAAGCCACACCTATGTCCAAATATGAGTTGACAGTTGTATTTCATTTGATATGGTATTCAAGATACTATTTGAAGTAATATGTATGATGACGTAATAGGGTTGGTATTATTATTATTATTATCAAATAGGTGATTAATAAGTTAAACATTTCAATAGTCATCTCTAAGTAAACATCATTTTGTTGTTTCCTCCTTATTAAAAGTAACTCGTAATACCTAAATGAGTTGTAGGTAGTAACTCAGCAAGTATATACATGATTTATGGTTATGTAAAATAAATAATGGATTACTAAAATACATAGATTCTATTGATAAGCATTTGTGAAGTACGAAGTTGTTGTCAGTGAAGCTTTTCACAAATCGGGTTTATCGTAATGTACATACATCACAGTATAGATTAAACATGGTGACGAGATAGTTTCAATCGATTTATTGTAATCAGCATGGTTGTACAGCACAATTTTCACTGTAAATAAGAAACATGAGATCAAATATCATTGGAGTAAACAATGGAAGTGAGAATGAAGTGATAATATCTTAACGAATAGTGTTAACTCAAAGATTCATCAATTGAATAATGCTTGATTTTAATAGTTGAGATCATTAGTCAGTTGTGGCTAGACCACCATGGAAAACCTCGAAGCCCTGGACAGCTGTTTCATCCCATTGTGGGACTCCTCAGCAGGGTGCATTAGCGATCCCGACCAGCGAGATTCGAACACAGGACCTATTGATCTCATGTGCGAATGGTTATCATCTAGACCACTGAACCGGCTGTCATCCAACGGTGTTAATGTCTAACTTCAAACAATCCATGAAATTGAGCAACCGTCCACCATTGTCTTCAGTGAGTTACTATCTCACAACATCTTCAACTGACACATCATCTCAACTGCTAAAAATACTATAATATCCACAAATCATATTCTGATATTAATGAATGATTGTTTGAATTGCACATGATGTATGAAGGAGAATATATTCGTTGATAACTACCGACGTTGAAAACTCCATGTCCAATGAAATAACACTGATAAATTATAAAGAAGGCATAGTTATTACGCTATATAATCATTTGAGTATAATAGTGATAATGTGATTATAGCACACATATTAGGAATACCATTTTTACGTTCACTTGTTGTTGTTTATTTGTATGTTCTCATTGTTACTTTAGACTGCAATTAATCAGTCTTTTATTGGCATATGTGCATATTTTGCGGACTGCCTCAATATCGACTTAAGTCATAAGCTTTAAAAGCAAAGATGGATAGTGACTAGTAGTACAATCCAGGACTCGCATTTCATCCTATGTGGGACTCGTCGATTGGATGTACGTATATCTCGGAGTTGATGTTCACTTTTGGACTCAAACCAAGTATCGTTCGCTTCCAACGCCATCGCGTTATCTACATAGGTACTGCACGAGAGGTAACAGACGTAAGTAAGCAAGTATGTTGAGGCCTACTGATGCAGAGGCTGATGCTACACTAGTTGTCTTCATCTGCATTTGTTCATGTGTAGTGAAACTTGTTTGTCTAATTTGTGGCGAAATTCATTGAATCAAAATCTATTTGATATTTATCCTCTAAATATTTCAACACTTCAATAGAACTGGACATTATTTTATAGTGAAGTAGAACCAAGAGAATCAGCATTATACTTTCCGAGTTTTTTAAATTTATATCACTATATAGAGGACGAATTAGGGCTCAGAGTTGACTCAGGGCTACTAATGCAGGTTAGCGAATCATCGATTTAGCACAGGACAAGATTATAGAAGTCGGTATCCTGATTAGCGATTTTGTCACTTGATATTTCACGGGCCATAGAACATAATAATAATAGTCTAAATTAGTTGGATAAAAAAAATTCAGGGTACATACTATTGAATGATGTTGTGTCAAATGAAATTATAAGCTTAGTGATCGGAATCAAGTATAGCTGATGTACAATGACAGTAATATTAACACAACATCACATGTACTAAAGTGAGATATTGGATGGATGAAGGTAGTCTCCTCGATGTCTATCTCAGTTCGACTAGCTCAGTGATAACGTCTCAGAGTAAATGCGTGACGATTTATAATGCAGATTTGATTTGATTGCCTCAAGATAATAAAAATATGTATTATTGATGACTGCCAAATAGCACAAAATCTAGGTGTAGAGTTTCCAGTCAACTACTCTTAAAAACTTAATGTTATGTCCACGTTGTGTATTATTTGTACTTAAAAAGGCGAGGAACTACTAGAATTCCATGATGCGAAGTAAGAACATGGAAAATTGGTGCAAGTGTATCTCTGATCATCCCAAAAACAAGACAAGCCTAATTGGAAACACATTCATTATATATTGAGTTGATATGGTGATGGCGTTTGAAGCGAAAGGTACTGGATTCGAGTCTCAGAGTGAACATCAACACTGAGATGCAGCTACATCCAGCTGACGAGACCCAAATAGCACGAAACGCACATCAAACTGGATTCCAATGCTAGCCACTATCCATCTTTACTTATAATGCTTGTGAATTAAAGCTATATCGACGCAATGATCACAGTATGCACATATGGCCAATAAGTGACTGACCAGTTGTAATTCTAAACATCAATAGAAAGATTCAAACAAACAATACTAAGTGATTCCCACACATGTGTGATTGTTAGTTAGAAACAATTCACATATCAAATTCTAACAAAATTGTTCATTATATTCCATGTTGAACATAGTTGACGTCAATTCAATCCAAAGGATTTATTTTTATTTATTTATTTGAACACATACATATTGGTACAAAGGGGCAACGAACACATATACGCCAAACAAGTCACCTAATTTGTATGAGGGTCATGTTACTGCCTGAGTGTCTAGAATGAAGCAAGTGGTGTTATATGTTAACTGATTGTGCAGTGCTTACTATAAGTTCAAATTTCTCCCAATCATTGGTCACATTATGTAGTTTCTAAGCTCTATTGATAGTTAATGAATTTAAAGTTTTGAATAATACTTTATAGCGTCTGTCATAATGATGACCTGTGAACTCTATTGTATCTAGTAACAACCTGGAAACAATCGCAAAGTTTCTGAAACAATTAAAGAAAGCCCAATTTTTAGAGACATCTTATATAAGTTAATTGGATGAAAAGAAGGAAAGAACCAATCTGCTAATTTCTTTAGAAGCTTAACACAAGTCTGTATTGATGCAGATAAAAAAAACTATCACAACCTCTAGATGAAGGGCATTATCATGTGGCTTAATATCCAGAAAAGTATTCCTTAATTGACAACAACGGAAAGAAGGAGACTGTGTCAATCGATAGTTTGAAATCAGCCTTCATAGACAAAGAACAGAGAAATGACTGTGTAAAGTTAAATAGCAAAGCATTTTCGCCGGGCCTACTCAAACAACAGACCAAGTGCAATACACATCCTAATCTCAGTTGTATAATCCAATCTAACATGCTTAATAAATATACATTAACAGCTTTCTTTGACTCCTCACTTGTCGAATATATATTCACACTTAGTTTCCTCTAAATCCCATATCACACTTATATGTACATGAATTTTTATATTACCTCACCTGCATGTTTCTGTTTGATACAATGACGATTATTGTCAGTCTATTACACAGATCTATTACTCAATTCAATTCCACTTATGAAGCAATCATGCCCATATTGTGATTTTTTAATTAAATTGATGCTTGGTCAAGGTTTCGCTCTATTTTATTGTATGAGATAGGTTATAGAATCCAAATGTGTGGTTAGCGGTTATTTACTTTGTAGGTTATGTTTTATTCTGGTTACAGTATGGGCGGACCAGATTGCCAGTCGAAACGTTGGATTTAATTAAAATTCATTCGCTGAGATTTTACAAATATATTATTCCTATAAAAAGTTGGATAGAACTAGAAACGTAGGCTCAGGACAGAGTGGATCGGAGAATTCTGGTTTTAGGCCTATACTCGATTGGGGTTAACAGGCGTAAGTAAGTAAGTCAGCATTTGTGAAGTATGAATTTGTTGTCGGCGAAGCTTTTCACAAATCGGGTTTATCGTAAAGTACATACATCACAGTATAGATTAGACATGGTTACAAGTTAGTTTCAATCGATTTATTGTAATCAACATGATTGTACAGAACAATGTTCACTGTAAATAGGAAACATGAGATCAAATATGATTGGAGTAAACATTGAAAGTGAGAATGAAGTGACAATATCTTAATGAATAATGTAAACTGATAGACGCATCAATTGAATAATATTTCATTTTCATAGTTGAGATCATGAGTCAGTTGAAGCTGGACCAGCATGAAAAATCTGGAAGCACTGGACGGACGTTTCGTCCTATTGTGAGACTCCTCAACAGTGCGCATCCACGATCCCACCTTACAAGATTCGAACGCAGGACCTATCGGTCTCGCGCCTGAACGCTTAACCTCTAGTCCACTGGGCCTACATCCAACGTTGTTAATGTTCACCTTCAACTAATCAACAAAACTGACTGGCACACTGATCATTGTCTTCAGTAACTTACTATCTCACAAGAGCTTCAATGGACGCATGATCTCAACTGATAAAATTACTATAATATCCACAAATCCCATTCTGATATTAATGTTTGATTGTTTGAATTGTACATGATGTATGAAGGAGAATATATTCGTTGATAACTATCGATGTTGAAAGTTGCATTTGTCATTTCTTGATTCCTGCCATGATTATCCATCTAAAACTGCTAACGATCTTTAGTTGCATTTGTTCCACTTTCACTTTCATACATTAATTCAACATTTGTTCGCCTATTTGTCAATTAAGCTTTCCTATTCATCTTGGTCTTCTCCTTGGGCATAGCTTCGTAAGCAACTGAAATAGTCTGTGTGTCACTACAATCAATTTCTTCACAACATTGTAATACTATGCTACATATCTGAAGAACATGAAGTCAATTTAGGTAACATTAATAAAGAATGATCAATAAATAAATGATTCCATACCGATTATCACAGCTTCTACTACAAACATTAATCAACCACAGATCGATTGTAAATACACAGTGTTCACCATTTTATGAAACAGTTATTCCTCATGTAGTGAACGAGAATACTAGTAGGGACAATCGAATGTATTGAAACACGAAGTCACAGTACAACTTAGTAAAATCTGAGATCCATAGAGTAAATACCTCAATTGCAAAATATTCATCAATCGTTTCAGATTGTATTCGTTTTTTGTTTCCACATCAATCCTTTTCTGTTCTTGTGCGCTTTTCTTTGATCAACTTAACCTTTTGCTGCCACATATTTCACGTTCAATTGATGATATATACTACTTATATCTGTTGACATAATTAGCATACGGCACACTAACGGCTATTGATAGTTGAATTAAATGAAACGTGATATTTGGGAATCAAAAATTGCAAAAAAAATTCGTCAATCAGTATTTGTTTGCTTCCAGTATACGTTCGTTTACACTGGTTCGATCGACAAATTACTGGTCTCTAATTGGCGATACAATCACGTTATACATTATTAGGGCATACAGGCTACAAGATATAACAGTGTTCTTTTTCACTACATTACTAGAAAGCATCCGATGGAAAATGGAATTTATTTGATTTATCTGATATTGATAAAATGCTAATACTGTACATCATTGTTATTCACTTTAACGGAAGTGTTTACCATAAAGAACATTGGGTTATTTCCTGAAAAACAAGTGTAATGAATGCAATCTATATTACTTGTACATGGATTTCAGGCATTAAATGATAACAATTAAGAGAATTCAGTGAAGAAAGTAAGGTCTTCTCGATGACTTCTCGTGGAATTACTGTTGTTTACCAAATTGAGAGGACGAAAAGCCAATGTACGGTGCTTTAACCGGGTTGGTGGACACGGAATGTTCATGTGGCGGAGTTGGAAAACCCTCATTCCAAACCAATGGTGCACATGGACTGGCTCCAGTATCCTGCTTAGGGTACAAATGGCGTATGATTCAATGGTTGGTCACTGGCTAACATGGGACTGCATCTCCTCACGATGCTCCTGCACTGCCTTGTGGATCAGATCTTAAGGTTAAAGTGTTGCTTCGGGTTTGGCCCCTTAGAAAACCACCTGCTTCAGTTTGGGCACGTGGGCAGTATCACAGCCTTCACACAAATCGAATGAGATTTGTGCGGCGCATATGTATTCGATGCCTCTTTGTACCAATATTTATGTGTTCAAATAAACTAATGATAAACATTCGTATTTTGTAGTTAATATGGAAAATATATGTCTATAGAAGGACCATAAATTGATTCGAAACTCTTATTATCAAATAAGATTATGTAATAATCAAGGGGTAAATAAAGAATATGAGGTGGGATTATGAAAGAACTGAAGGAGTAGTATTTATTTTGTATTCTCCTTTTAAAAGTCATGCTGTGTAGTGTTCTGAGATGTGTTTGCAGCATTTCATCAATACATAGATCCAAATAAGTCTTCTTTTAAAATAATAATACTAATCTACACAGTCAAAGGAATTGGATTGAATGGAGGTCGCATCAAAATCTTCTGCACTACTGAGGTATTGGCAATCCATGATGTCAAGCCCGAATTTCGAGTGCAAAAACGATACATCCAACCTCTTATTCTTCCTTGACTGGAATTCCTTTTTGTAGTATGTTTTTCAATTTTTTTTATTTTATTTATTTGTTTGACTTCTTTATTCAGTACATGTTATGTTAGCTTACCATATTAGACTACTACTCCTAAAAGGATTTCGTACCAATATCACGAGGCAATCATCATCAGCTGTATGTTTGCCTCATTATATCTGTAATCAGTAAACACGAATTGTAATCAACACAACGCTTAAAAAAGAACTTACATCAAAGCAAAACGGACATGGTAGTTGGAAGTTTTGGTATTCCAAACTCTTAAATGGGATTAATAATTAAGTAGGATTCCAACAAACGTTTTTTTTATCTGATTAACATTAAAACAACATATTTTTGAATTAGTTGTATATAAATTGTCATATCGTTTCGGTGATGATAGAGTCAATTGAAACTAGACCACCATGGAAAATCTGGAAGCACTGGACGGTCATTTCGTCCAATTATTGTCCCAGTATTGTTAGCGGACAACTTAAACATTCCAATATACACTGATTTAAACTAGAATAGTAACACAATACCTACCGTAACTTTCCTTTTTATAGCTCATATTGAAACGACCCCTTATTAAATTATTTTACTATGACGTCAAAAAAGATGATAGAAAGTAAAACTAAGTGTAAGCAAAGATGGGTAGTGGCATACAGTGGAATCCAGTTTGACGCGCGTTTCGTCATATTGGGGACTGGTCAGCTGGATGTACCTATATCTCAGAGTTGATGTTCACTCTGAGACTCGAACCAGGTACCCAGATTGAACATCAACTCTGAGATGCAGGTACATCTAGCTGACCAGTCCCCAATAGGACGAAACGCGCATCAAACGGAATTCTAATGTTAGCCACTATCCATCTTTGCTTATAAATGTGTTTGCTATTTTTATATATTATGTTTGTGAGGTGAAAGACAAGGAAATTGCATAACGATGATTCTGTTTGTGTTTATATATTTTGTAAGTTGAATAAATGAGCAATGCAACAGGAGACCGACAACAAAACATTTAGTTCTGGAAGAACACAAGCTAACTAATCAATTTTCAACTAAAATCGAGATTCTATGAACATATCTGAGATGAAACTGTGGTGAAATATTGGGAAGGAAACAGACCTCATTACATTTACTTAGTATCTTAATGCTCTTAATATAGTGGTTAATTTTTTAACATGACTTATAGACTGAAATCAATAAGGCTTATATAGGATATTGCAAAAAGGAGCAATTCACTATTGCAATACATATGAAAGTTCCATCTGTTGAATATTTGTCGCTTCTGTAATGACATCAGTGGATTAACCAATGAAATGTTGTATTGTATTGAATTGTTAAACTTTGAAAGTTTGTTTTCAGTAGATGCACATGATTTCAAATCAGTCGCTTTAGTTCCATTGATGACGAGTATACTCTCAGATTACTGAATGGTATGTTTGAGTTAAGAGGAGTGTATATCATGGTGAACGTATAAAAAGCAAAAAAAGAAGACTAACTATTTGGAAAAATCATTATAATGAAAATCACAATTAGATCACTTATTCCTTACTGAATATCCTCCATAATGTTGGCAGTTATTTGTGCGTCGTATTACAAAAAGCTGTGAATAGATAAATAGATCTACTAAATTCAGATTTCTAGGACGAGGTATTACGATGGTGTGTGCTACTGATGTCAACGGATATAAGTAGTATATATCATCAATTGAACGTCAAATATGTGACGGCGAAAAATAAGGAAGATCAAAGAAAAGCGAACGAGAACAGTGAATGATTGGTATTGAAACAAAGAAACAGTGAAGTCTGTGATGATTGACTGATATTTGCAAAAGTAACAGTTGAGATTGAGACGATTGATGAATATTGTGCAAATAAAGTATTTACTGTATGGTTCTCAGATTTTACCAAGATTTTCTGTAGCTTTTTGTTCAGTACATTCGAATGTCGTTACTTGTGTTCTCGTTCACTACATTACTAGAAAGCATCCGATAGAAAATGGAATTTATTTGATTTATCTGATATGATAAAATGCTAATACTGTACATCATTGTTATTCACTTCAACGGAAATGTTCACCATATGGTATAATGGAACTCGGCTTTCATTTTGGTTAGCGTTTTTTTAGCGAGTTGGACTTCTACGGGATGGGGTCACCAACCCTCCTCCTTTACCCAGGCTCGGGACTGACAGTAGCCCCCGGAGGAGCTACAGGCGGAGTTTAGTCAATAAAATCTTTATCACTTGTACATGGATTTTAGCTATTAAACTGTAATCAGTCACTATGGCCCTTTAAACAAGTTTTCTTATTTATTATACAGTTTTTATTATTATTATTATTTAATAGTTGAATTCATGAATCAATTGAAGCTAGATCAATATTGGAAACCTAGAAGCACTGGACGGGACTCCTCAGCAGTGTGCATCTCTGATTCGAACGTATGACCTGTCCGTCTTTACGCTTGTAGTTTTTCTCCATATCTGTCAATTATCTGGCTCGTAAATTATTTTCTTCCTAATTGTTATATCCCGAATAGAATTATGAATGGTAATTTTTGAAAACTATTTATCGACTAATATGATATATACATTTTCTATTGTATAACTATTCATATTCATGTTCCCCTTATTATGAGCTTTAGTTTGATCCATAGACTACTACTGTACGATTAACCATTCCAGTCTATTAATTACTGTTCCCCCTATTCACAGCCACATTTGGCCAAATCTTGTACAAATGTTGTTTCCTATTTTATGATACGATGTGGTCAGTTTGTTTGCTTTATAAACACAGTATATTGAAGAAGAATAATTCATCCTAGGTATCACTGTATTTCAGGCTTCCCTCCAGATGTTGACGTCTTCATGATCCAGTCGATCACCAGAAGTAAGCGAAAGAGTTAGAGTAAGCAAAATTGCTTGACACAGATATTTACTTCAAACGAGTCAGTGAGCTGTCCTCCATGCATGATTGTGCAGTTCAATCCATCATAAGAATTCCGTATGATATTAAGTATTTTCTCAAGCACACCGTAGTGTCAAAGAAGTTTCCATAGTGTTGTCGCGTCTACGCTATTAAATGCTTTCTCGTAAACAATGAAGTTGATGTAGAGTGATGAATTCTATTCAATTGACTATTCCTTAATCATCCATAAAGTTGCGATTTGGTCTGTACACGATTGATCGTTACGGAATTTAGCCTGTTGATCTCGAATTTGGACGTCTACGGAGTCCCTCATTCTGTTTAACAATACCCTATTGAAGACTTTTCCTGGTATTGAGAGAAGAGTGATGACGAATACTAGCTTCCAGTAAGCAAATCATTTATTTTAAACATACTTGGTTTATATACCACCCAAACGGACCACATCACATCATAAAATAGGAAATAATGTTTATACACGATCAAGCTAAAAAGTGACTGTGATTGTGGGAGACTGTAGTTAGTAAATTGAATATAACTTAAGAACAGTAAGTCGTATCATAATGCTCTAAAGGTCAAATGAAAGCTCATCACAAGAGGAATATAAATATACATAATCTACTTATTGAATAGTTATGCAATAAGGATATATATGTATAATATTAGTCCATTAATAGTTCACAGAAGTTAACCATCATTTGATCTTCTATAGGATATAACATTTTACTTAAAATCCTTTAGACAGAGTTTATTTCTTCTTCATCATTCATATAGGCATCAGTATTGAGATTGGATTTGATAGTTTCAGATCAACTGATAATGATAAATATATTTTTTGTTATATCCAAATGAGTAGAAAAATTGCATTTTGGATGTTTCGTGACTTAATTTAGGCTACTTCTTCAGAGTAAACAAATGAACGACATTAAATCAACACAAATTCAAATTTGTATTACTCTGAAGAAGTGGCTTATATTAAGTGACGAAACATCAGAAATATAATAAGGATGAATTCATTATTAAACATCAATATCTAATAAAAAAAAACATGAATAGTTAAACTTACATCCATAATTTCATCTTCATACTAATAGTATCCGAAATGTGGATTGTGATATAAAAAGGACGGGGTATGACAAAGAACTCATTGAATTACCCTGTCGTAAGCGAATTCTAATTTGTAGTGCCATGCTTCGTTAATCGATTACCTCGATAACCGTTATAATGCCAATCTTAATGGTGCATAAAATCAGAATGCAAAGAGAAGTGGCAGCTACAGTTTTATTGACAAATGACTCAGGCCAGAAAGTTACAAGCACATGATCAAACATCAGCGAGTAGTGGGCAGTAAGTGAAAGCAATTACATAGGCAAATTTATAGTCAAATTGAATAAAGGCACAGAAAAACAAAACAAAAGTTGATAATAAAAATTGCGTTCATAGATATATGGGGAGGAGGATGAGTTATCGAATGATAATTAAGCAATCAACATATTGGCTAGAGTGTCATGTGATCTAGTGGTCATAACAGTACAAAGAATATGCGAATTGTTACTATCCAAATGACAATATCTGTTAAGTAATTTAATAAAAGGGCTTAAGCAAAATTTGAGCATCGTAAGGAGATGCAGTCCCATGGTAGCCGATGACCAACAATTGGTTCGTACGTTATTTGTTCCCTCAGGTTACTGGAGCCTTTCAATGTACACCATTGGTTTAGAATGAGGGTTTTCCAACTCCTCTACGAACTCGTTTAAAGCACTGGATATTCGCTCTCGTCCTTTAAATTTCGTAAACAACACAGGTGGTGTGAGAAAGAAGTGAGTAGGACTTCCCTGACAGAGGCTGTATGCGCGTGGCCATGTGAGAGCATTTGGAGAAGGAAAGTGGACTCTCCCCACTCTCAGCCCTACCAGGGCATTTGGGGCAGATTAGTAAAAAACAAATGAAAATTGGAATGTTTATATTTTTCACCTGATAACTAACATGAGATTGATGGTATTTGTTATATCCTGAAGATGATTTATAACGCAGTCTTTTAATAGTGTTTTGGACTTAAGTGGCTGAGCTAGGCAGAAAGCAGGGCCGATATGTACTCTACACTGCTCGTAAGGTTTTCATGTGTCATTGGTCCGATCGATAATTCTCTGCTCTCTAATAGGCGGGTACAAGATAATAACAATTGCCGACACAAGTTAAAACAGTATTCATTTATACTCAGTGGTGAGTACCATATTTTGTTTAAAGATTTTCAGTTAGTCCTGTATAGGGGATTTCGAGTCTGACGAAGTCAATAGCTTTGAATACTTTAAAAATACGGATGATTAAACATACTTCAAGGATGTCTTTCTGATACTGAAAAGGAATAAGAATAATCAAATTTGATTTAATCAATTACCAGGGACATAGATTAAAGTGAAAACATAGAATGTGTGAAAGAATTTGTAATGCCCTAATAACCCGTTAAAGATTAAGTGACCTAATAGACAATCAAAACACCGACTTATACGACCTTGGCTCTGTGCCAAACCAATGACTCATAAACCAGTGAGAGCAGATTAGATTAAACTTGAATCCTTACCCATTCTTCTTACCTTGCTCTGCCCGCCGAGTCACGAACACAATCTCAGCTTCAGTTGTATGAATCATTTATTTCAGATAAACGCAGTTTATATGGATGCAAATCAGACCGCATCATACTCCAAAATAGAAAGTAACAAATATACAAGATCAAGGTAAAATTGACGTTGGTTATGTTCATAACTAACCAATCAAATTGATATTCAAACGCCCATCACGTCAACCTGGTCTGATGTGTCTGTAGACCATCGCTGTGGCGTGTAGTATACAATCATCATCAACAACATAGAGACCAATGTAAATCAATTCTAAGTAACATTACGGCCGATTAGTAACTAGGATAAGAAAAGGTTGACGTCCTGTGATGTTTGTGTGAATTAATGATTCCTCTGTACTTGATTCCTGGTTGATTTCGAATGCCGAATACAATTCATTCATTCGTGGTCATGTAGTATTTCTTGGGTGAATTGCGTTATTTCTGGTATTCCTAGTTTGTACTACAATTCGAATACTCCTAATTATGTTTAATTTCTTGGGATTTTATAACAATTAAGCTTAGCAAGTATATCTATGATCTGATTGTTCGAAATGTATTGCACTACTATTATCATCATATAGTTCTGATGATCTTCATCTTCATCTTCATCTTCGTGATTGATCAAAGGGACTAATTACTTTAAATCATAATTTATTAGCTTTCTTCTGAAGTAATACACAATGGATTAAGCATAATGTTCTTGAATCATTCAATGAATAGAATATTTTGAAATGTTGAGACAAGATAGATATATTGCACTCAGTGTCGAGTCACCTCTACTAGTAGCCATATTGCAACTTGATCGATAGCATTCGATAAACACTAACAAGGACTTGACACGCATGACATTGATCACCACCCAGTGAATAATCGATTGTGATTATTTTGAAATATTTTCTAAAAAAAATTCTTCGCATAGAAACAATCGTTGGGTAACTTACATTCGATTTAGTACACTAAACGAATATCATAAATGGAAATGTTTATGGTTAATTGTATGCTGGAAGTGAAATTTCATTTGATTAGTTTATTATGATGAAATGCCAACAGGTTAGGTATTGAACACCATGGTAAACTAAAATTATTGTTTGTTTGAATCTTCCCATTGATGTTTAGGACTGTGATTGATCAGTCTCTAATTGGCATATGTGCATACTGTTCGTATTGCCTCGATATAGTCTTAACTCACAAGCATTATAAACAAAGGTGGATAGTTGCTAACAATGGGATCCACGACCCGCGTTTCGTTTTATTAGTTACTCGTCAGCTGGATGTAGCTGCACCTCAGAGATGATGTCCAATCTAGGACTCAAACCCGTTAGCGTTCGCTTCAAACACCATCGCGTCAATAGTATTGACTATAACTTATGAAATACAGATCTTCAAGCCTTTCCGAAATTCACTTTGCCAGAAATGAATGAACTCATGCCTGAAGTCCACAGAAGATCTTGAACATATATGAATTAAGTCTAGTGAATTTAGACATTAAGTGTAAATATGTACTAATCATTCAGCGATGAACATAAACATGACACAACTCATGTTTAATTATACCCATAGGTAAGTGAGTATTCACCAATACCATGCTTATTTAAATTTCAAACGTACATCAATCGAATTACACTTGACGGAGAAGCTCTGGAGGATATAAAAACCTTTACATATCTGGGCGACATCATTGATGAGCACGGTGGATCTGATGCAGATGTGAGGGTGAGGATCGACAAAGCAAGAGCAGCATGTTTACAACTGAAAAACATCTGGAGCTCAAAACAACTGTCTGTCAACCAACATCAAGATCAGAATTTTCAATAAAAATGTCAAGACAGTTCTACTTTATGGAGCGGAGACGTGGAGAACTACGAAGGTCACCATTCAGAACATACAGGTGTTTATCAACAGTTGTCTATGCAAGATACTTCGAATCCGTTGGTCAAACACCATCAGCAACAAGCTGCTGTTGGATAGAACAAACCAGATTTTAACGGAGGAAGAAATCAGTAAGAAGCACCGGAAGTGTGTAACAAGCCCATTCAATTATTGTATTATTTGTGTTTTCTCTGTAATTTAGACAGTTAATCGACTTCGTAAATTTATGTGTTAGTCTGATTGAGCGCGCATGTGTCTGCACATCGATCTTTAATCTATTCTAACATTGTCAGAAGGAGTTTTGTGGAGATTTTAGTAATTTTATAGAGTTGAGATCATGAGTCAATTGAAGCTAGACCACCATGGAAAACCTGAGGAGTCCCATAATGGGACGAAACGGCCGTCCAGTGCTTTCAGGTTTTCCATGGTGGTCATGCTTCAATTGACTCATGATCTCAACTCTATATTCTCGCATTGGTTGAAAGCAAAGACAATCAATAATTTATCCACAACCCATTAACACTCATTAATATATATTGATTTTTTAACACCTATGGCCACACACACACACACAAAGTGACTCACTTGTTTTCCCTGTGTGCTTGCTATCTGTACGCTTGCGGATCTTTACCAAACCTCAACAATAAACTATCTGTGTAACTGGTGTTCAGTCTTTTGAATAGTCTCGAGTAACCCCATCATTCTACTAGGAGATATAGCCTGCGTTAAATGTTCACTTAACGGGATATTATTTATTAATTGGAGCCAGAAAACATAGAGGAATTAATCCTCTACAAAGTTGGTGAACTGCATTTTGAACGTGCACCATCTCTCTACAAGTCTGTTCCATATTCTCTAATCATATCATAAAGAACTTTACATTGGAATTACTGTTACATTGACAGTCATAATCTATTCATTCATAACATTGTTCCTTTCGAATTGTATCAGTGTATATTCACATATTTGTACTTCAAAGTGACAGTTGTCTTTATTATTCGGTGAGTCTCTCATATATAGTTCTTGTTGTTGTTATTGGTTATTTCTTCATATTGTATATGTCAATGCACAGCTTATTATTAATATTGGTACTGTTATTACTTCTTTGTATAATGTCACTCGATAATTCACTAAACCTTTCATCTAAGTCTATTTCCGTGGGTGCCATCTCTGTACCTTGACTAGTTTTTAATCTTCGAAAGGCAGAACTCTGGTTTGCACGCTTAGAAAGCTTTTTTATTACAAACAGAATCACAAGTCAGAACACGAAATTTAGTTACGCAAATTCGTTGCTACCGGATGATGTTATTGAGCAAGTGCCTGACGTCAGTTTTAAACTGGATCCTGACTCACCATACGATTTCCTAAAAAAAGAGGTCATATGTGTTACATCACTCTTTGACCTGTAGACAATCGATCAACTTTAAGCCAGTGTAGAGTTAGGTGATCACACACCTTCCCAATTAAAACACCATATGACAAGTGTTTTAGGGAATTGTATAGTTGATAAACGTCTATTATATCAATTGTGGCTCAGATGCCTCCCACAAAACATACAGCAGATACTCGCTATTGAAGACGAAGATGCCAATTTTGATAGGCTAGCAGACAGCCAATCGAATTTATGAGCGGACCAGGACTCACTCGGGATCACAGGTACAAACAAACTCAACCGACGAGATCGCCGATTTACGACAGACAGTCGAAGTCATCACTAAACAGATAGCTCAGCTCCAATCTTCTAATGCCGGTCACTGCAAGTGTAGAGGAAGGTCTACAAGTCGTACGCGTCATAGTCCAAGCACCATCCGACATAAAATTTGCTGGTACCATAGAACGTTCGGTGAACAAGCTCTAATATGTATTTCCCCCTGTAATTTTGCAAACACATGGAAAAGGGAACATCAAGGCCGACGATTATTTACGACTGCGGTCGCCGGCGACAACTCACAAGACAGTCGTTTGTTATATGTGACAGATAGAAGAACCGTAACACAGTTCTTAGTCGACACAGAGGTAGAGGTTAGTGTGGTGCCAGCTACTACATTCGAGAAAAAGATATTTGACCCCAAACTGAAACTAAGAGCAGCGAATAGATCCGAGATCAAAACATACGGTAAAAGACATTTACAATTGCATTTTGGTTCCAAATCCAACTTCTCATGGAACTTCATCATAGCTTATGTCCTCGTTCTGATAATAGGTGTTGATTTCCTGCAATCATATAAAATACTCGTAGACATTAGGAACTTGTACTTGCCGATCACAGCAGTGAAATCAAAGGAACTCTATCTATTGAAACGTCTATAGATTTATTGGTCAAATCCCATCGCGAGAATGACAAGTACGTCAATTTACTCAAACAGTTACCAGACTCATTAAGACCGTGTTTCAAATGTGACAAACTGATACATACTGTCGTACATCACATTAAGACATAGGGACCACCAGTATTTGCACGTCCAAGACGCCTTGACCCCTATCGTCTGACTCTCGCAAAGAATGAGTTCAACAAGATGATGATGATGGGCATCACCGTTACATATGGTACCTAAGAAAAACTCTTCTGAGGTTAGGCCTTGTGGCGATTACAGATCTCTTAACAGCAGTACTATAGCAGATAGATATCCGCTTCCACACTTATATGACTTTACTCACAATCTATCTGATGCTTACATAGATGACTTACTTATCGCCAGCAAAGACGAAAATGAACATCTAACGCATCTACAATTAACACAAGGGGGGTTTTTTGTGGAGATTTAGTAATTTTATAGTTAAGATCATGAGTCAATTGAGGCTAGACCACCATCGAAAACCTGGAAGCACTGGACGGCCGTTTCGTCCTATTATGGGACTTCTCAGCAGTGCGCATCCACGAACCCGCTCTCGCGAGATTCGAACCCAGGACCTACAATTGCTTTTTGAGAAGCTAAACGAGCATGGGTTAACAGTCAATCTCGACAAGTGTGAGTTTGGGAAGCAATCCATCACCATTTTACGCCACTTACTCGACAATCAAGGTCTCAGACCAGTTCTTGAGGAAACACAAATCATCAAAAATTATCCCTTACCTGATTCGTTCAAGAAACTGCGACGCTTCCTTGGGATGATCAACTTTTACCGACGTTTTATTCCGAAATGTGCTGACATAGCGAAACCGCTAACGGATTTATTAAGGGGACGCGCTAAATCACTGATGATGACACCACAATCAATTCAAGCTTTCGAACAGTTGAAAAACGCCTTAAGCACTGAGGCATTGCTGGTCTGACGGAATATTAACGCACCTCTAGCAGCAATGACCGACGACTCTAATGTAGCAGTAGGTGCTGTACTTCAACAACGAGTCAATCAAAAATGGCCACCCCTATCATTTTTCTCAAAAAAGCTAAATGCGACGCAAACAAAATATAGCACGTTCGGTAGAGAACTGCTGGCCGTCTATTTAGCCATCAAACACTTACGGTATATGTTAGAAGGCAATTCTTTTACAATATTTACTGATAATAAGCCGCTAACTAAAGCTTAGCACAGATAGGTTTGTATGGCCAAACACAAACAAAGATGCACGAAAACGGTCACAGGAATGCATCCAATGCCAGAAGTCGAAATTACACAGGCACATCGTATCTCCTACAGGAATTTTTCCCGTCGCTAGCTGTAAGTTCGACCACATTCATATCGACATTGTTGGACCGTTACCAATTTCCAATGGTTACCTGCATATACTAACATGTATTGATATATTCACGAGATGGCCCATAGCCGTCCCGTTAAAAGATACAAAGTGGAGCCCAGTTTGAAAGCAAACTCTTACAACAACTTACAGATACCTTCGGTATAAAGAGAATCAGCACCACTGCTTATCGTCCGAATGCTAACGGAATGATAGAAAGGTTCCACCGACAGCTAAAAGCCTCTTTGACGGCAGCAGAAGTAGAATATAAATGGGATACCCAGCTTCCTTTGATATTACTAGGTATTTGCTCAACTATCAAACAAGACATCGGTTGTTGTGCTGCTGAGTTGGTTTGCGGGACGACGTTACGTTTGCCTGGTGAGGTTTTTTAACCGTGCAATAGATGTCCAAGCAGATATAACCAACTACGTGCAACAATTGAAACGACAGATGGAATCTATTACTTCCGTCGAACCACGGACCTATCGAATTAGACGAATGTTCACAAGTATTCATAAGAATTGATAGAGTACGACAGCCTTTACAGACTCCTTACGACGGTTCTTTTTAAAATCGTCCGAAAAGACAGCAAAACAGTTACGATAGAAAGAACTGGTAAACTTGATACTGTTAGCATCGGCAGAGTAAAACTAGCGTTTTTAGAGCACATCGAGAAATAGACAACAATAAAATCATCTAAATCCGCATCAGAGCAAGCACCACACAAACTATCTGCAACAAGCAATACTTCACACAGAAGTTTATCGGCAACAGAAACTACAACAAGATCAGGAAGAAGAGTACACTCTCCAGATAGGTACGCAGCAATAACTATATTTATCTAGCCCAAATCCTGAAATTGTTCTTATAACACTATGGTATTATTTTAAGCAAAGATGAATAGTGGCTAGCAGTGGAATCCAATTTGACGCTCGGTTCGTCCTATTTGGGACTCGTCAGCTGGATATACCTGAATCTCAGAGTAGATGTTCATTTTAGGACTCGAAATCAGTGCCTTTAGCTTCAAACGCCATCGCGTTATCCACTCGGATTTTTAACACTCATTGAAACACATATACACATACTCACTCACTCGCTTTCCCTGCGTGCCTGCTATCTGTACGCTTGCGGATTTTACCAAACTTCAACAATAGTCTATCTGTGTAACTGGTGTTCAGGCTTTTGAATAATCTCGAATAAACCCGTAATTTTACTAGGAGATTTATTGGAGTCAAATATAGAGGCATTAATCCTCCACAATACATAAGAAAACACACATTAAGGAAAGCAGCCACCTGCGTGACAAGACAAGCCCTCACATGGAATCCTGAAGGTCAAAGGAGAATAGGAAGACCAAATAACACTTTGCGCCATGAAATGGAAACAGATATGAGAAGAGTGATCAAAAGTTGGATAGAACTAGAAATGAAGGCCCAGGACAAAGTTGGTTGGAGAATGTTGATTGGAGGCCTATGCTCGATTGGGGATAACAGGCGTAAGTAATTAAGTAATTAGAAATTGACAATTTTAATAGATTTCATTTGGATGAATTGATTCTTGTATTTCTAAACTCGATGTCCAACAATATGCCACCAAAACATTCTAAAAAGTACTTACATAAGTTCTTAGACCATGACTCTAAAAATATAATATAAAATTTTTGGCATAAAATGTATGTAAATTTATCAATTATGACAGGTTCTGGGTTCAAATCTCACGAGGCAGGATCGTGGATGCTCATTGCTGAGGAGTCGCACAAGAGGAAGAATCCGCCGTCCAATGTTTCCAGATTTTCCATGGTGGTCTAGCTTCAATTGACTCATGAATTCAACTATAAAATTACTAGAATTTCCACAAAAGCTCCTTCTGAAATGTCATTGAGCACTACAGTTTGGTCACTGAATATCAAACAGTTCATCGATCCCTAACAAACGCGCGTCATTTAATCGTACGCCATGAATTGCTCTATGCGGCAGTGGTTTTACTTTCGCTTGTATCTACTTTAACTAATAGATTTCTGTAATAACGTCAGTGGTGTTGTATAGTCTTCAAAGAATCAGTATTACTTTGATAAAACAGAGTGGTAATCCATGTTAGGTGCTGACTGTGAGGTATGACTTCGAAGTTATCTGGTTCGTCATACTATTCCTGTCTAACTCTAGTAGGCCCACAATCATTTGACAGAGATCATCAACGTTGATGATCTACAATTTCTAATTGTTCACATAGAAACAACAATGTAATCACTTACAAAATGAGTGGGACATGTACACTAAGTTATAGGTTATATAAAGATATCTGAGTTAATCATACATTGAAAATGAAATTTTCTTAAGTTGTGAAAGATTCATAATAGATATAATTTGAGTCTGTAATCATAATAAATAAACGTTTTCAACTACAAAGACAAGTATCTGAAGCTTCTTATGTATTACTCAATAGAAGAGAAGTTATTACTGTCCATCCGACTTGAAGTATCTCTCCGGCCTACCATTTCTGGTTCTATTTGCAAGTCACAGTGTTATCATGAACACAACTTCAACTCTATCTTTTCATATTACAGATGTCATATCTTTCACGCCGATTAACGTATGTCTCCTCACCTTGACTGGAGTGATATGCTAGTGACTTATTCAGACCTGTTTTTTCGGTTGTATTCAGTATTTTTTGTATCGTTCCTTTATACCACTTAAACTTTATTTATTTATTTGTTCCCTGAAGAAGCGCCTTATACAGTCACGAAAAGTCAGGAAATTTAATTTTTCCTCTCATTGGGATAATACAAATGTATTATGTTTTTATCAGTGGTGGGGACGTTAGATCCCCAGAACTCATTTAGAAACCGCCATAATTTCGTAATTTTATTCTGAAGATTTGAATCATATGTTTTCGTGCCAAGAGACGCTTCGTTGACCTACGACTTGCATTTCCCACTCGGAAATCATTGATTGTCATTGGTTGACGGGTTTTTAGTTCGCTATTTCGTGGCTCTCCCAAGGACGTTTCTATCATTGTATAAATAAGTTTGATTTGTGTGCTTAATGACCTCGTATTTTCTGGGTGCTTGTAGAATACATTCTCTACGCTCCATCAAGACTTCTTGATCTAGTTAGTAGGGCCTGAGACAATGGATTAGGCTAACCTATCTTGTCACTGTGTCATTGACCTTCGTTTCGTTTACGGAGTCAGGTGAACTCGTAATAGCGAAATGAATATTGAAATATAAAAATGGCACAATTGTTTTGCATAGCAACTATGATAAACTCGTCATAAAAAGTTTTTTATATCAACTTACCAAATAATCTTTTTCTTTTTTCTGAATATTACATCATGGTTATTACATTACTTTTCATTGAATGAATTGTATAAATGAAATCTTATTGTTTTGTAATAAGATGAAATTGCCAATTGACATTTTCTATATAAGAATAACACTAGTTAATTGAGCAGTAAGCTGAGGCTATCTATCTTATTTAGTATACAATAGAGTAATCTTTTTGCTTTACTTTACTTACGTCTATTACCCTTCGTGAAGGAGCATAGGCCGCATACAACCATTCACCATCCAACCCTGTCCTGGGCAATCCTTTCCAGTTCTTTCCAATTAACATTCAATCTTTTCATATCTGCTTCTATTTTCCGGCGTAATGCGTTCATTAATCGACTTTCTGCGAAGTCCAAATCATCTAAATGATTCTGAGATGTCCATCGTATTCTGTGCTTCTTCTCATATGTCGAAGTATTCATAATCCAATCAATCACCAGAAGAAAGACGAAGGAGAGAGTGGACAGCATTGTCTGATTCCAGTCCTTACTGGAAATGCATCTGTCATCAGTCCTCCATGCACCACTTTGCACTATAGTCCGTCTTGTGAATTCTGGAAATTTTGAAAATCTTCTCAGGAACTTCATAGTGTCGAAAAAGTTTACATAATGTTCTCCGATCCAAACTGTCAAACGCCTTCTCATAATCAATGAAGTTGATGTATACTGACGAGTTCCACTCAACTGATTGATCAAAGATGATCCTTAATGTCGCGATTTGGTCTGTGCATGACCTTCCTATATGCAATCCGATCTGTTGATGTGGAAGCTGGGCGTCCACTGAACCTTTCATTCGGGGCAGTATGCACATATGCCAATAAGAGACGGATCAATTACAGTCTTAAATAACAATGGGAAGATACAAGTAAACAAAATCAAGTTGTAGATTTGATAAATATCTCATGTCTTTTAAAGAATATAAATATATATCCCGTTCTCTATGCAATTCAGCTTAGAGGAATAACTAACTATGTAATAACTTACAAGTTTTTTAAAATTACACTAAATTGTAATATCCATACAAAGAATTCCATTAGCCATATATTCCAAACGTATTTTTATTGCCTAGAAAACAACTCAAGACAAAATTTGTTAGATTCTTTACTTATGATAGAACTTCAAAACTGTGATATCCCCATGAGGATTGGGGTTAATGGTACATGTAAATCAAGCACTTTTTGTTTCGTATTGATCCTAGAAAAACTTTGGTTGCTATGGTTGAATTTTCTACAAACTAACATGAACTGTTGAAATGGAAATAAAAAACAGGAGTGAAGTATTAGCAGCTTGAACCATTTAGGCATGTTGGTGAATACAATCATCTGTTCAAATTTCACAAGGGAATGTCGATATTCACTTAGTATTGTATCTGTAAGCTCATTGATTATAAAATGCCGTTACACTACTTATATTCATCCGATGTTAGGTTATAAATTCGCATTTTGGGAAATGAGTATGTTCAACGATATCGCTTTTAATGTAGTTAGCTTAACCTTATCTTAGCGTTAATGACTGTAATGGACTGTATTCGATTATGAAAATGTCATCATAACTTACTTTTTCAAAACCGGTTACCTTTAAAATAAATATGTGTGCCATTACATCCTTTTGATTTGGATATTTAAAACGAAATTTTAATATATATATATATATATATATATATATATATATATATATATATATATATAGTAGAAATGCAATTTGAACTATTACGATCCTTTTTCTCAGTTCAATGTAGATTTTGAGACTATTTTCTTTTCCGTTTTTAAGTAGTAGTGTTGTGTGAGCTACTTATATCCACATTAGTAGTATACAGCGATAGTCAGAAATATAATGTATCTCAATAAAAGATCGAGAAGGAAAGAACGGAAACAGAAAGTAATTAGCATGAAAATACAGGATCAATTAAATCTGGGACGATCAACAGATATGGACAAAAGAAACAGTCAGGTTTGTGACAATTGATTGACATTTTGCAAATAAAAGATTTATAGTGTGATTCTCAGGTTCTGATAAGACTGTCCCCACGAGTGTACCTCTTCACTACAATCCAAAAAAATTGATTCAGAAAGAGTTTTTGTGGAGATTTCAGCAATCTTATAGTTGGAATCATGAATCACTTGAAGCTAGATCACCATGGAAAACCTGGAAGCACTAGAAGGCCGTTTTGTCCTATTGTGGAACTCCTCAGCAGTGTCCATCCACGATCCCGCTCCATGATACTCGAACCCATGACCTATCAGTCTCGTGCCCCAACACTTAACCACTAGACCACTGAGACGACATCCAACGGTGTTGATGTCTAACTTTAACCAATCCACAAAATTGAGCAACCGTCCACCATTGTCTTCAGTGAGTTAATATATCACAACAGACCTGGTTGAACTTCAATTGTCACTGCTTCTCACTAGAACTCCAGGAAATACCTGTTGAAACCAGTCACCAGTGAGCATATGATTCATTCAGTTTATTTATTTCTCAGTTGGATAATTCATTAATTCTCATCATTCACTTACACATGAACATACTTCTTCCGTTTCATTAAACACAAACCAAAATCGAGGTATCTGAAATAGAAAGTTGAAAATTCAATTTGTGAGATGATTAATTTGACTCAATTGAATTTAGTTTTAAATAGAAGAACATACTTGTTTCCCTTGGTTAAGAATAAGCCAATCTATATCTCTCTAAGAAATAGGGGGGATTAGAAATTTGATCAATTGCTTGTCAAAACATCAAGTGTATGTATATTATGTAATACTAACAATTCATTACAAGCTTTATAACAATCATCAGAGTTGTGTAATACTTAGTCGATAGGATACGATCTACACTAAGAATGATTTGATATACATAATATTGATCACTACCCAGTGACCACTCAATTTTAAATACATCTCAGTGGTAATGTTTCTAATTGTGAAGCTAAACGACACTGGTTTGAATCCATCAAGGAGCATCAGTTCTTATAAGATTACAGGTACACTTAGCAAAGAAGTGTCAAGTAGCACGAAACCTAAATTCAGGTTTTCCTGTTGACTAACATCAAGCATCATCTTATCTCAACATAGTGCATACACTTTCGAGTCACCTACACTAGTGGCTATATTGTGACTTGGTCGATAGGATTCGATCTGAATTAAGAGAGACCTGATATACATGATATTGATCCCCACCAGCAATCAATCATCTGTAAGTTGCATTATACTGTTTAAGAAAATTTATCACATACTCATTTTCTTTTATGATGCTTTATTAACTCTCGAATCGTAAACTAACTTGATCTGCGAGGATCTATGAAACTGGTTTCTTTATCCAATAGTTTGTTTTTGAGTTTACTTGCATCATCAAAATGCTTCGATGTACATTTCAAAAGTTCATTAAGTCTTGGCTACATTATTGATCACAATATGTTTCCGTAGAAATCTGTAATCCCTAGTGAATTTCTATGACGATTCGACATTATTTTGTATGCACGTTAAACATGTTAACTCAGTCTGTAGCTCTTATAGAGTTACTGCCGGTTCTAAGCCAAGCTAAAAGAAAGAGGGTTGGGCATGGGGTTAGCGATCCCATGCCGTAGAAAACTAACTCACTGAAAAAACGCCAACCAGAACTCGTGGGTTGCCAGTGCTTCTCTACGACGGGTAACAGGCGTAAGTAAGTAAGTATATTGAACATGTTATCAGATAACTTGATAGATTATTGCCTTAACCAAATCATTTTCAATGATAAACATTTCACAAATTGTCATCTACGTATATTTCCGTTTGTTATTCAAGGTAACAAATCTCCTCATTCTTTCCTTACTTTTCATTTTGTACTAAGTCACATATCTATGCAAAAATAATGGGTTGTATTGTTTAATTGAAAGATTGGAACATTTATTCATTCATTGAACTAAGACTTACCTTCCAAGTCCCACTTCCTATAGATATCAATGAAGCATTTACATCAAAACTGATTATGATAACATGTACAATATTGACAAGATAATGTATTAAGTAGAAGAAAATACAGAAGTTTAATGTTCTTTATGAAACATAACAATATGTAGTTTCAAATTAAAGATACAGTGGAACCAGATAAATTATCAAGTTACCAAAGTACAACTCCTCGTGTAGCTCTTCTAGAGTTACTGTCAGTCCCAAGCCCACGAAAAGGAGGACGGTTGAGCATGGGGTCAGCCACCCCATCCCGTGGAAAACTAACTTGCTGAAAAATGCTGACGAGAAAAATTAACTCGAAACATTTAAAGTCTGCCCTGGGAGTTGAGGGAAGAATTATGTCGCCTCAGGATAAAAGTCGAGATTCTTTGGAAGTCACGAGGCCGATGACTCTTCTAACAACCAGAATAACAGTTTTTGTAGGTATATGGAACGTCCGGACAATGTGGAAGACCGAGAAGATCAGTCAGATAGCAATGAAAATGAGGAGATACAAATTGGAAGTCCTACTGTATGGAGCTGAAACGTTATGAACTACTACAACCATCGTGAAGAAGGTACAAGTATTTATTATTCGTTGTTTACGCAAAATATTGAACATTCACTGACCGGATATCATCAGCAACAGCGTTTTATGGGAGAGAACAAACCATTTTCCAGCTGAAGAGGAAATTTGGAAACGACGCTTGAAGTGGATCGAACATACATTTGGGAAATCATCAAACTGAAATACAAGGCGATCCCTAACTTAGAATTCGGAAGGGGGGGAAAGAGAAAGGCCAATCAACACATTACGTTGGGAAATGACGCAGATATGAAGAGGATGAATGTTAAATGGAAAGAACTGAGAACTCAGGACAGGGTTGGCTGGAGACTGCTGTTGTGCGGCCTATGCACTTCCACGAAGAGTAAAAAGCGTAAGTAATTAGGTACCAAAGTACCTTAAAATTTCAATTTCCTTAGGGACAATTCACACATTAAGAAAGTCTAAAATCTATCAGCAGTTAATCAATAAAACAGGCTTCTATATCGATAATGTTCACATACACCATGATAGTGAATATAGAAATTCAAGTCACTTGCCTTGTTTTTTATATGATTGACTGTTTTAAAATGTCAAATAGATTTGAGCCATTTCAGAAATGATATAAATCAAGGTTGATAGTTTTCGGAAAATTGATCTTAAAGAAATCGAATACTTGGCAATAATTAGATCCAGTTAATAAAGGTGATTGATCTATGTATACTGGATTGATAAAATCTGGATCAAGCGTATGTGAAAGAAAAAATCGATAATATTCAGGGAACGTATTTTCTGACAGTTTACAGCTAGTCGAAATAAGGACTTTTGGTTCAATAATGTTTTAATGTATGATCAATTTGATTTCAATAATTGAATTCATGAACAGATCTAAGCTAGACCACCAATGGATACTCACTACTGAGGTTTCACATAATAGGACGAAACGACTTCCAGTATTTCCGGGTTTTCAATGATGATCTAGCTTAGATCAAGTCATGCATTTTAATATTAAAATTACTACAATATCTACAAATTTCCAATCCAATAAAATTTGATTTTCTCAGATTTCAAGTACTTTTTAATGTTATTCAACCAAACATAATATTTATTTTAATAGTTGTGATCATGGATCAATTGAAGCTAGACCACCATGAAAAACCTGGAAGTTTTAGATGGACTTTTCGTCTTATTGTGAAGCCCCTCAGCAGCGGGCATCCACGATCCCGCCTCATGAGATTCGAACTTAGGACCTATTCGTTTCTTTGATAACATTTATTACATTTATACTTACCATCACTTTTGAAGACTATCAAAAATAGAGACCAGAAGATAAGGATAATACATGGTAATATAAACACTTGATATGGAGTCAATATCATATTCCTGTTAGCCATTGATTTTGTCATAAATAAGAATTCCCAATAGAAATGATAATAATCTATTCATCAATCACTTTGATCTGTCCTATTTATATATTGATAGGCTTGACCAATTAAATTCAAGTCGATACATACTACAGTAGACAACATGTAACATTACCAAAGATTCGTCAGTTGTATTCATTTATCTGACAGCATTTGTCAATAAGCCACACCTATGTCCAAATATGAGTTGACAGTTGTATTCAAGATACTATTTGAAGTCATATGTATGATGACGTAATAGGGTTGGTATTATTATTATTATTATTAAATAGGTGATTAATAAGTTAAACATTTCAATAGTCATCTCTAAGTAAACATCATTTTGTTGTTTCCTCCTTAGTAAAAGTCATTCGTAGTACCTAAATGAGTTGTAGGTAGTAACTCAGCAAGTATATACGTGATTTATACTTATGTAAAGTAAATAATGGATTATTTAAACACAAATATTTTATTCACAGGCGTTTGTTGTCGGTGATGCTTTTCACAAATCGGGTTTTGTCGTAAAGTACATACATCACGATATCGATTAGACACGGTTACAAGTTATTTTCAATTGATTTATTGTAGTCAACATGATTGTACAGAACAATTTTCACTGTAAATACGAAACATGATTGGAGTAAACATTGTTAGTTATAAAGAAGTGATAATATCTTAATGAATAATGTAAACTGAAAGATCACTGTTCATCTAACTCCTGAGATCATGAGTAAATCGAAGCTAGACCACCATGAAAAACCTGGAATCACTGGACGACTGTTCCGTCCTGAACAGTGAGCACCGATGATCTCACATGCGGAACTCGAACCTAGGATCTTCGATCTTTCACGTAGACGCTTAACCACTAGACCAATGAACAAGCCTAATTTCAACCAATCCACGAAATTGCATCACCATCTGCTGCCAATTATTAGAAGTTCCTGCTTTAGAGATGAATGAATTCTGTAACTATATATCATCTAATTTCAAATAGTCTTTATGATTTTGTTTTTATAGAATCAACTAGTTTTTACATTCTTCATCTATTAATTAGTGAACTTGACGCTACCTTTTTGGGGTTGCTTTAGCCTTTTTATTTTATTACGCCTTGTGAGTTTTGGTTGATGAGAATCTGATGATGATTTCAATTCATATTTTCATTTGATGTTATTAAGGAGATTTTCTATATTTATTGGATAATGTTTGACGTTTGCAGGCCTTCTGCTGGATACTGTGCACTTATGTTTTGTTTTAGTTGGTCCAAGTCATTAAGGTGTTCTGTCAGTCTTGAAGAAACCTTTACTACTTGTGTGGTTCCATCTTATATCACTAAGCTTTTTAGTACTCGAACCACAACTGAGCTCTTGTTAGACAGAGTTATTCATATTTATCAGTCAAAATACAGTTATCGATGTCGTGTTTGTCTAGTAATTGAATGCTGATAGAATTCTGTCAATCAGGTATTTGGGCTAAATTGCATCAAATTTATCGAGTCCTTCAACTCATAGGGTTGATTATGTCAAGTAAGCCCTAATCTACAGTTTCGACTCGTTGTATGTTCTTAGTTGGATGAGAATCAACCAAATTTTGTTGGATAATCATGAATAAAGTATATTGAGAACAATAGGCGATCGTTACGTTCACAGTTTCAATATCTGAGAAATGGATGAGTTTAGAAGTGATAATGGAAGATATGCATCTGTTTGTTTTTATTTTCCCAGTTGACAACACTATTACTTTAATGTACATTTGTGTCTCATATCATACAACACGTCATTCCTTTGTATAAAACATTCTTTCAACACTTCATGCTACTGATGGCCCGTCAGTAGTGTGTTTAGTCGACGAAAACAATCTTTCAGCGAAACGTTAACCAGAATAAAAAATTAAACTCTCATAGGAGCCATATACTCCTCCATGAAGGGTAACATGCGTTAGCAAGTAAGTAAGTGATCTCGATACACAGGACACTTGTTATTCACTAACATCAAACTTGGTAAAATAATACAAATCAATAAATATATAATTCGTCCTGGCATAAATCTCGTTCCCACAAACTCATACTTTCAAATTATAATCGTGAGCTTATTATTAACTTGCTTCAGAATGAATTCCCGAAATTCGATTAAATATTCTTGATCGGTGGAGTTTGAGTCCATCAGGAAAGTGACAGTCAACCATCGGTGATCATTTATTGATGTCAAAAAGTGTATGAATGCATTCTGGTACAGTGATATAATGGTTCCGCTTCAGCCGTGACTTTTAAAATTCAGCTAAACAATATCAGGAACTCAGCTTTCGCAGATGATCTGGCTATTCTATCACACACGCAACAACAAATGCAGAAGAAGACCACCAGTGTAGCAGCAGCCTCAGCATCAGTAAATCTCAATAGAAACAAACGGAAAAGCAAAACTCTCCGATACAATACAGCATGCACCAATCGAATCACATTTGACGAAGAAGCTTTGGAGTATGTGGAAACCTTTACATATCTGGGTGACATCATGGATGGGTACGGCGGATCTGATGCAGATATGAAGGCGTGGATCGGCAAAGCAAGAGAAGCATATTTTCAAGTGAAAAACATCTGGAACTCAAAACAGCTATCTGTCAAACAACACCAAGATCAGAATTTTCAATACAAATGTCAGGACAGTTCTACTGAGTGGGGCGGAAACCTGAAGAACTACGAAGGCCACCATTCAGGACATACAGGTGTTTATCAATAGTTGATTACGCAAGATACTTCGGATCCGTTGGTCAGACACTATCAACAACATTCTACTCTGGGAGTGAACAAACCAGATTCCATCCAGCGGAGGAAGAAATTAGGAAGAAGCGCTGGAAGTGGATAGGATACACATTGAGGAAATCACTCAACTGCGTCACAAGGCAAGTTCTCACATGGAATCCTGAAGGCCGAAGGAGAAGAGGAAGACCAAAGAACACATTATGCCGAGAAATGGAAACAGACATGGGAAGAATGAACAAACGTTGGATAGAACAAGAAAGGAAGGCCTGGGACAGAGTGGGTTGGACAATGTTGGTCAGCGGTCAATGCTCGATTGGGAGTAACAGGCGTAAGTAAGTAAGTAAGTAAGCAATCAATATCCGATGAATTCATGAGTGCACAATAATAATATGTTCCCTACTAGAACCGAACAGCTGTTCTATGATCTCAGTTGTTTTAAATAACTCAAGGTCAGTCTATTTGATGATAAATAACGCCTACGAAGTAAACCGATGTTAACAAAACCCTTATAAATCACTACTGTTAATCTGTTATCAATAAAAATTATGAATCTTCTGGTTACTGATGAAAAATTAAGTAATATATCGACAAACAGATAAACATAGCACTTTCCAATTACATATTTATCTGTGCTCTAATATATAGTTAGGTTTAATAACAATGAGAGTAATAATAGGCAAAGATGGATAGCGGCTAGCAGTGGAATTCAGGACGCGCGTTTCGTCCTATTTGGGACTCGTCAGCTGGATGTACCTTCATCTCAGAGTTGAAGTGTCACTCTGGGACTCGAACCCAGTACCTTTGGCTTCAAATGTCATCGCCTTATCCACTCAGCTACTGAGTCCTGATCAATGGGAAAATTCAAACAAACAATACTAAATGAATTCAAATTTCATCCGATTGCACAAGAAAGTGGCTATCAGGACTTACTGACCGAGTGGATAGCACGATGGCGTTTGAAGCGAAAGGTACTGGGTTTGAGTCCCAGAGTGACACATCAACTCCGAGATGAAGGTACATCCAGCTGACGATTCTTAAATAGGATGAAACGCGCATCATGGATTCCACTGCTAGCCATTATCCATCTTTGCTTCTAATGCTTGTGAATTAAGGCAATATCGAAGCAATAAGTACAATATGCACATATGGCCAATAAGAGACTGACCAGTTGCAGTCCTAAACATCAATGGGAAGATTCAAACAATTAATACTAAATGAATTCAATAATGGTAATAATAATAATAGTAACTAAATGACAGAAGTGTATATCAAGTATGTTTATGAAATAAGGAAATTGTTTTGCTTTTTATCCAAGTTAATAATGTGTGAAATGAGACTGACATTAACATTTTTAAAAATAAAATGAAATAATGAATGTTCACATGAAGATAATCATGATTAATGCTATGGTTACATGATATCGACCAAGATCCTATAAGGCAAATGAAGTTTTACAGATTTTACTAAGCTATTGTAGTGTGTGCTACTTATATTTGACATAAGTAGTATATAACACTAGTAAGAAATAGAATGTCTGATAGCAGAAGGTTGAGAAAAATAAGGAGGAAAGAACGAATACAGAAAGCAATTGGTATGGAAATACTACTACTGACCTTCAAACACGCAAAATCGATGTGAATATAATTTTTTTTTCAAAATAGTTAAATTATCAGTGAAGCTTTCTGTTATATCCTTAAGAGAATGATGAATAGTAACTTTTGAGAACTATTTATGAACCAATATGATGGGCATATTTCTTATTGTATAATTGCTAAGTAACTAAAGTATCTCTATTAGTATAGCGAGACTAAACTATGCTAACGACCTTTGAACGAATCTTAAATGACTTTGAGAAATATTAGCCAATCAGAAGACAGTTAGTATACAGTATAAATATATCATAAAAAACTCAAAAATTAAAGGGGATATTGTTGTTTTACATGATTCAAAAACTTATCAAAATTAGATATAGGTTCAGAAGTTCTTAAATCATAGTGCATCTGGTACAGGAACTCATTCATATGGCTCCATAGTAGTCGACCTCTGGAACCATGATGAGGTCTCAAAAATTATTTTAGCCTCAACCACATAGCTTCAATGTTGCTGGTATGTTGGTATGATTTTGGGTTTTTGGGTTAAAGTTAAGGTTTAGGGTTAAGGATGAGACTATAAATTATGGACGACCATTGAGCGACGCTAGAGTGACTCTGAGAGTGTAGACATAATAACTAAGACTAAATGAGGGTTATAAACCTGTGTGAA